GAGAATGTATATCAGAAACAAAGTAAAAAAAACTTTATGCAGATAAGTTTTATTTCACAACCACTGATTAATAATAAAAACTGACTGAGTGCACCTTAAAAATATGGCAAACTAAGAAAGAATAACTATTTTATACAGAAGTAACCACCATGCAATATGTGATTTTCAATGGCTGATCGATTCTTACATGTCATGATATAGCCTACTATTATATACCATCATGAAAATGTCTCTCATTAGCGCAGATGAATCTGTCTGTGATTACTTAAAGTAGGCTACACTATTGGAAACATACCCTTAAAGGTAGGCTAGGCAATTTGTTTTATAAACACTTTGTGTTATACCGGTTGAAACTCTCTTTACATCCTGATAGCAATCAATCAATAATAGAAGTGGCCTAAATATTAAACATGTAGCCTACATATATCTTCTGTGGAAGTCACAGGACCAAAAAATGTTCGTCCAATCATTGTATTCGGTCCAAATGCAATGATGCGATGTCTTACCTGCCTGTCAACAAACGTATTTGCACACCTCCGCAAACCCTGCTATCACGCGTCATCAGCGGGTTATGTAAGGCCATGCAGAGTTGTAGACAGAGTCACTGAGCGCCGCAAACAAACAGCAGCCACCTTTTACATTCCTCCTGAACCAAAACAACGAGCTTATGCTGCGTTCACGCCATGTCGTAACCACAAGATGGCAACCTGTGATGTTCTAACCTGAGTTATGCGTTTCTTTGTCAACAGTGTCAACGTCGAAATTAGTCAAAGACCGGTCAGGAATTAGTTCCTGACCACCGAAGCAGTCAGGTGGTACAAGTAAGATTTCTGTAAGTTGTTTACATTCATTATTATTGTAATGTTATGTGCTTTGAGACACATGGTAATTCAACGGTGTCTCGTTCGTGTGTTTTTAAGGAGGTGTGGCTTTGGAGACACTCTGAAGGAAGGGTGGGATCTTATGCTTTCAAAGCTAGCTTGCTATTGCGAGCCAGTCCAAAATTGCCTACCTTTTAGTTAAGAAACCTATAAATGATAATACTCTTACAATTATATCAAAGTATTTTCTTAAGGGTTCAGATGCAACAGGCTGCAGTTTCTCTGATCTCCCTAAAGTCTGAAGCTGCACGGATAGCCAAGTTGGCTGCTCACATAGGCCTAAATTGACGTCTAAGCTTTGTTACATAAATTTTCATGTTGTGTCCCAGCTGACTCTTTTCAGCAGAGTTGTTTCATTTCTTTTCTGTGACGCACTAACAAGTAGGAGGCAAGGACAACCAGCGGCTGAGAGTACAATGGCACCATGCACTTACCGAGAGAGACTGAGTGAACTTCAGCAGGGAGCTTAAACTTCTTGTGCTGATGTTGTCATATGCCTGTATCAGATTGTGTGATTCATGCTTGTTGCCGAACTGCTATTCTCCAGGGCTGCAACAATCGATTCAATTGGTAGGCTAATCGATTGTTTCGAAGACGAATTGAGTATTCTGACTTTTGACCCTTTAAATGCCTGAATGATTCGCCAATCATTATATATTTAGGGATCTATATTATCTAACATGGATTGATCTCTGCCTGTCGTGATAATATAAAACTCTCCTAATATTAGAGTAACAGCAGGAGAATAAAATAAAGCATATTTGTGTTACCTTTTGGAGCTTGGAAGGGTTCAGTTTAAGCAGATGTTTTATACCATCATCACTCAGTCCTCGTCAGAGCTCATTTCCCAGTACATTCAGCATCTGTCTCATATTTGTGATCTCAAACATATTCTAAAACTATCAATTTCTACATCTTCAAAATCTAAATTTTAATCAATGGCAGCTTCTTCACCAGATTCACCATCAAGTAACAGTGACACTAATATTTAATTGCATTCAGTACTTGCTCTGCAGTAAATCGCTGAGCCATTTGAAGTTTTGCTGATGATCTGTTTTTTTAGTTTTGTTTATTGCCTGCGGTAACTATGAGTAAAAATTCACTTCTTCATTGTGTATCAGAAATTGCCACCTTGTGGAATAAAGCTGAATTGCACTTATTCAGTCATTAAAGATTCAATTATTGTTGTGCAGAAAAAAATATTCCACATTGGGTCGTTAGCGACCCTATAAAATTTTGGGGAAAAAAATGAATGGGAAAACAGCCATTCTTTTATAATTGAATTATTTGTTTCTTGTTATATTGTTAATGATGAATTGATTGAGGAATACTAAGAAGGTTGATGTCTAACTTTAAAAAAAGAATGAGGAGGAGTATTTCTAAGTCTAATTGTATTTATGAATATGAAGTAGGCTACTAAATTTGAACTATTTGCACATAATAATTTATTTTTAAATATGCACACATTTACTTATTCATATTGTGTCGAAAACGCAAAACATTGTTTGTCTGAATGAAACGAGAATGTTAAATCCAATAAATAATTGTGTATAGTAGGCATTTTTAGACACAACACATATGCTACTTGGCTAATGTCATTTCTCATCACCATTTACAACACTATCCTGTTATAGTAGTTCACCCAGATATACACACATCACATGTCTTCTGAACCCTGTGTGACTTTCATTTGTGGAACATAAAAGGAGATTTGTATATCAGAATGTCCCAATTCATTTTTATTGCAACATATAAGGATGCGTGAATTATGACATACATTTTTGAGTGAACTATCCTTTTCAAACCATCTTCACGTTAATTGTGGATTTTACTCTTTACATTTGTTTTAAATGTGTAAAAAGTGATGTTGTAAAATTCATCTCTGTTGCAGATAAGATTGCTTTTTTTAGCTTCTAGAGCTGTTGTGAAGTTTTGTGTGGTGAAGACCACGTTAAATATGTTCTCTTAGTTGACACAGCCTTTTCCTGTGTTAAAGTAGTCAGAGGAAACCGTTAAATGCACAGCAGCATGTGAGAAGGACAGAAATGCAACCTAGAACTTCGTAGTTTAATGGTGGTACGGGAGATATAGTGTTAAGGTCACAGAGATCACCTGTGAGTAGTGATGCCCACAAGCTAACAGCATCCAGAGTTTACCTGCTCTGCGCCCACTACGCTTTCCGCTGGCAGTCGCCCACGCACACACACCATACCTGCTACATGCAGTGAAATCCTGCGGTTTGCAATCTTCTTTGTGAGTTTGTGCATTATGTGAAAGAGACTGGAACCTCAGACACCTATTGATGTCACCTATTGATGTTTTTTTGTAAAAATGTATTTGATTTTCAAGCGCATTCATCGTTGCAAAATCTTCTTTTTTTGTCAGCAGAGCAAGATTCAACAAGATAAAATACTGCCACCTACTGTTGGAATATGAGTTAAATATACGCTCCTAAATGTATTAGTGCACTTGAAAATGAAACAAAATTTTTCTCACCCTAACGTTGTTCCAAAACTGAATGCGTTTTTGTAGAACATTAAAGAGGATAGTTACATAAACGTCTCAGTGTTTGTATGTTTTGTTTACACAGTGAAAGTAAGTCGTCACTCGTCACCTAAATTGTTCTTCGTGTATGTTCCACAGAAGAAAGTCATACACGTTTGGAACGATACGATGAGGGGGAGTAAATTATGAAAATATCTATAATTATTATTATTAAAATAATATCCAGCCATATGAGATAAAGTCTAGACTGTAGTCATCTAGAAAAAAAGAGACTCTATTCTAAAGGAGCGGTTCGCCCTCTCATGGGCACTGACATGACATCACATGACCTGCAGCAGTACAAAATGCACCGATAAATTGTTTCAATTAAAATTAATGTCCATTACATTCATGTGTTTATATGAGACTGAGAGGAACAAAAAGAAAAACAAAATAAGAGATATACAAACAGTTAGTGTGTTCTTCTTCTTGGCATGCGTCTGCCATGATTGACAATGCTTGGGTACAATAGTCCATGTTGATTAACTTCAACAGTATATAATATACTGTTGAATAATATAAATGATTATATTTGTGATTTACCTACAATAGAAAGTTACTGCACTTGTTTGCAAGTGCAGAGATGAAAATGATATATTCAGGCCCTATTGTTCCTAAAAATGTCTTGTAACTTTTTCTAGTGCTTGATCTCTGCCTTTCTGTAATGCTTTGGTTTAATGGAATAATAAGGAGAGTGTGAGTCTTTTTTCCTATGGTTGCTATGGAGATGCCTTTACATAATGATAAATATAGGTTGATCACATCCTTTATTACACTTGGGGTTTTTGTTCTGCTTGATGAAGAGCACACGCTCAAAATCTCCAAAGAACAAGGCAGTTTGGAATTGTTCATTCAGCTGTATTGTGTTCCTTACAGTACTTGTCTATAAATGTACTTTTGACTCTATAATATCAAAATATAAAAGCTGATCCCAAAATCAGACAATACCTACATATGTCTGGAAAAAACATGCATATTCACTGAATTAAAAATACTGCTTTTAAATGGATTTTGCTAAAAGGGTCAAGTTAGAAGAGTTTAAAATTAGATTTTAATTTAAAACAATTTCAAACATGTTTCATTTGTATATCAATTACAGTGTGAAGTTTTCCAGATTTTCTACATTCCACAATTATAAGTGTTATATGAAACATGGGAAATTTGTAGCAGACGTTGAAATGCTGTGAATTACCTTACACACAATTTAACCAGAGACCTGAACCACTATTCCGCTTTTAAATATATTAAAATCAAAGTAATAATAATAAAATACATAAATCATTGGGTTAAACTTTAACACAAAGAACAATCCATTGACAAAACCAGCAGACAAAAGACAAAAAGAGCAGATGTTTAAAACAGACATAGAAATCACTTTATTGAGGGAATGCCTTCCAACAATACAAAACACAATCCAGAGGCTTAAAGTAATACCATTCCATGAAGATACCAACAGAACAATGTCCCTCTGCTCTGTGTGGTCAATCCGGAAAATCATGACGCGTTAACATGGCTTTATTTTATTTTAAGTAAATAAAAAATAAAATTAAAGAAAGAGGGAGAGAGAAACTAGGATGAAAAAAAAAAAAAAAAAAAAAAAAAACTACCACCCACAGACTACTCAACCAAACATTTAAAGGATGAAAAAGATATACCATAAAATAACTGCGCCACAGGTAGATAAAACATGTAAAACAACAGCAAAATAACTTTGCAGTTCTGCTTTTTGCAACCATTTGGTGACTGTAGGATGCAAGCATTATATTTTATTCAACATTTGTCCAAGTTACTTCCACTTTAGAATGATAAATTCGCTTTTTTAATGGCCAAGAAGCTCTAAAGTACTGAAGTGGGCTTGTCCCATGTGGGTCAGCATGTCTGATCAAGTGAACGGGTGGAAAGCCAATTAAGATTCTGCTGTTCTTACAAAAAATGTCATTGTAGAATATTATGGTGGGGGAGCAAAAATGTTCACTGTTCTCACTCACTGTACTGGCAGGTCATAGGATTAAATGACAAATCCTAGAGGACATATGACTCTACACAGAGTGAAGTGAGACTTGTAGATTAAGGGGGTGGGGTTATTGGGTCTGGGTGGGCTGCCGCTCCTCAGGGGTGTTGTCTGAGGCCTGGGGTTCTGCTGGGGGTCCGGAGCTGCTCTCAGACGGAGCGGTGCTGTCGCTGGTGCCCTCATCTGTAGCACCCTCTGCAGGCTCAGGCTGGGCTGGTTTCTCTCCCTCTGCAGCTGGGGTGCCTTGCTCAGCCTCCTGAGATACTTCAGAAGCTTCAGCCAGAGTCTCTGCAGGACGGACACCACAAAGGTCAGTCAAACATATTTTATTAGACTATTTTTGTTCAATATTCAAAGTAAGAGAAAAGAATGGTGCAGGTCTGACCCGTCTCCATTGGGGTGGGCTTGTCTTCTCCATCCTTGGTCTCGCTGGTGGAGGTTTGTTCTGTGTTGGCATTGGCCTGGACCCCAGCTGGCTGTTGCTCTTCTTGAGCAGCTCTCTCCACCTGCTCTGCTGCTTCCCGCTCTCTCTCCTCCGCCCTCCGGCGAGCCGCCTCCTCTGCAGCCGCCATTTCAGCTGCCAGCTTCTCCATGTCCACCTCCACTTTCAGACTACACAGCTAAAAAAAGCAAACAAACCACACATCAAACACTGACAGTGCATCTGGCATTTGAGCTCAGGCTAAACAGAAGGGCTATTAGTTCACCGATCAAACTGAATTTCACACCCGTTTGAGCTCGTTATTGAAGGAGTCTGTGCTCTCCAGGAACCTCCTCTTCTTATCCTGATGTCGGTCCTCGATTTGAAGCAGCTCTGCTTCAAGCTTCCTCTGTTTAAAAACAAACAAAGTAAAACCAGGAACAATGATTTAACCAGGTCTTAACAGTCTTGCGTTTTATGACTTGTGTCTTTAACATGCCCAACCTACCTGGTGCACCATGAGAGACTGGACTTGACGTTTGAGCACCTGCATGCGAGCGGTGGTCACCACTGAGCGAACATCAGGCACCACAACCTCACTCAGGATGTCGCTGATGAGCCGGTGATTCCGCTGGAAACGAGCTGCCGCTGTATGCTTCATGGAGAAACCGTCGTCATAGTCTAAGAGAAATTTCATATTTGGAATCAACAATACAGAATATGGAGTGCTTTTTTCTCAAAATGCTCAAAAAGAACTTGCTTTTAAACTTTAGGCCCATTTGGATGATACTTATTTCTCAGCAGGACATCTGTAAAAGAAAATCTGAATGGCTCTACCATTATAAAACTCTTGGACGTTGGATGCCAATTAATCCACTAAGAGTAAGTCCAGGAAGTTTACTTCTGATGGTCATATGACAAATTAGTTTGAGATACAAACATGTAATATAATATTTAAGCCCCTGGCATTTATGAAGATCTAATATATATATATATATATTTTTTTTTTAATTACATGCGTTGCTGCCATTATAATGGCCCATTATAACTGGAGTCTAAAAAGAGTAGGTAATTCAGTCTGGAAGGTCAAAATATAGGAGGAAAATTCGACACGTACGGTAGAGAAAAAACACTAAAAAAATTTTTTAAATCAGACTTGAAATAAATCAGAGATATTTCTGAGAGAAATTATTAGCGTGTGAATGTAGCGTTTTGCTAAATGGTATCAGAGGTGCGGCCACTTTTACTGTTGTTCAGCAAATTTTTGTGGACTCAATCCAGTCATTTCAAAAGGAATCCATGCAATCATGTGAAAGATTTCCCTAAGCAGATTTTGCAACGGGTTCAAGTTGGTCGTGTTGTTGACCAACAGAAAGCTTCTTGGTTTATATATATATACACTCACCTAAATGATTATTAGGAACACCCTACTAATACTGTGTTTGACCCCCTTTCGCCTTCAGAACTGCCTTAATTCTACGTGGCATTGATTCAACAAGGTGCTGAAAGCATTCTTTAGAAATGTTGGCCCATATTGATAGGATAGCATCTTGCAGTTGATGGAGATTTGAGGGATGCACATCCAGGGCACAAAGCTCCCGTTCCACCACATCTCAAAGATGCTCTATTGGGTTGAGATCTGGTGACTGTGGGGGCCATTTTAGTACAGTGAACTCATTGTCATGTTCAAGAAACCAATTTGAAATGATTCGAGCTTTGTGACATGGTGCATTATCCTGCTGAAAGTAGCCATCAGAGGATGGGTACATGGTGGCCATAAAGGGATGGACATGGTCAGAAACAATGCTCAGGTAGGCCGTGGCATTTAAACGATGCCCAATTGGCACTAAGGGGCCTAAAGTGTGCCAAGAAAACATCCCCCACACCATTACACCACCACCACCAGCCTGCACAGTGGTGACAAGGCATGATGGATCCATGTTCTCATTCTGTTTACGCCAAATTCTGGCTCTACCATCTGAATGTCTCAACAGAAATCGAGACTCATCAGACCAGGCAACATTTTACAGTCTTCAACTGTCCAATTTCGGTGAGCTCTTGCAAATTGTAGCCTCTTTTTCCTATTTGTAGTGGAGATGAGTGGTACCCGGTGGAGTCTTCTGCTGTTGTAGCCCATCCGCCTCAAGGTTGTGCGTGTTGTGGCTTCACAAATGCTTTGCTGCATACCTCGGTTGTAACGAGTGGTTATTTCAGTCAAAGTTGCTCTTCTATCAGCTTGAATCAGTCGGCCCATTCTCCTCTGACCTCTAGCATCAACAAGGCATTTTCTCCCACAGGACTGCCGCATTCTGGATGTTTTTCCCTTTTCACACCATTCTTTGTAAACCCTAGAAATGGTTGTGCGTGAAAATCCCAGTAACTGAGCAGATTGTGAAATACTCAGACCGGCCCGTCTGGCACCAACAACCATGCCGCGCTCAAAATTGCTTAAATCACCTTTCTTTCCCATTCTGACATTCAGTTTGGAGTTTGGAGATTGTCTTGACCAGGACCACACCCCTAAATGCATTGAAGCAACTGCCATGTGATTGGTTGATTAGATAATTGCATTAATGAGAAATTGAACAGGTGTTCCTAATAATCATTTAGGTGAGTGTATATATATATATATATATATATATATATATATATATATATATATATATATATATATATATATATATATATATATATATATATAAATAAAGTGATTTCTCTAACTATTGACAATGGACCTTTTTTGCTAATGTGACCACACCATATGCTTAAATTATTCTGCAAAGATACTAGAATTGACATTAATATTTTAGAGCTGTTGTAGCTAATAGTGAAAATTTAAAGACTTTGAGAAAGCACCCAACACCAGTCTAAGTACGTACAATTCAAGCTGAGAGGAAACCGTCTCAGCAATATTCATATAACTCATTGTATTATGTTTGTGGCATCCAAATGTGACATGAAGATGTCACTCTCACCATCAGGGTCCTCAGCGGGTTGGATGCTCATATAGGGTTCGCCCTTGTCTAGGCGCGACTGTCTCTGCCGGCTCTCTTCTTCTAGAGCAGCTTCAGCGCGGTTCTTAGCGTTGACGTATGCCAGGTAGGCTGGAGAGTTGTGGTAGGCTTTCAAAGAGTCATTATACTCGATCTGCAGGGAAAAAACTGCTTAGTGCCTGTAACGATTTCCCAGGAATCGTTTTCAAATCAATCTCAAGTGAGGACAAAAGGCAAGAAACAAACCTTCTCAGCCTCGTATTCATTTAAATAGTCCTGTTTTTCCTCATCAGTGAGGTCTCTCCACATGCCACCGATGATCTTCCCAATCTCCCATAACTTCAGGTCAGGATTAGAGGCCTTAACTTGATCCCAAACCTATGAAAGACAAGTGTCAGTTCAGAGTCGACAGAACATTAAGGGTTCCTGGCCGGAGAGGGTTGCATTTTTCCAAAAGGATAGAGAGAAAGAGCACCGATGTTTGTCTACCTTTCTGTCCAAAATTAAAGGATGAATGCAGAGCAGGAGAGAAAAGTAAGAGTAATTGATCTGAACATTATGTATCCATCTATTATCGATATATATATATATATATATATATATATATCGATCTGTTATGTATATATACATTATCGATTCAACCAAACTGCTTTATTTTCTTCTTTTTTAAACACTTTGCTCAAAACAGAAAGGAAATGGAGCAAAGTTTATAGCCTCAAATGAGTAGATCAGAAAAGATGTCAGCTTCCCAGCCTGGTTAAACAGAAGAAAGCAATGAAGCGATGTTGGGGGTCTACCATATAAAGGGGCGGAGTCAGGCCACAGACCACCCCTCAGCCTTTGAGATGATCGCAGAAGCGCTCTCCTCAATTTACAAGCAGTAAAAGCAGACACCGTGGGTGTCTTACCTTCCTGCTTACCTTCCGGCTATACCGCATGTAGGGCATCAGCGGCTTGTCGGGCGGTTTGGGCGGCTTAGGAACGGTGATCCCTGAGGAGTTCTGCAGGAAAGGGAAAGAGGACCACGCGGGGCGTTAGAGATCATAAAGGGTACACATGGTCATCACAGAAAACATAGAACTTTCATAGTGGAGCACTATGGAGAGAGGGACAGGAGGCAAACAGAAACAATGACAGCGTGAAGTGCTTCGCAAAGGGGGCGGGAGACGTACCTGAACGACAAACCAAATACAGCACGTTAACATTACGCCAACAAGGCCATGCATTACACCCTCTTGGACACAAAGCAACTGTCTTTTATAGCCGAAAATGATTCTGCAGAGTTTTTTTTTTTTTTTTTTAACTAGCCAACAGCTAAAATGCCTCAAGCTTGCTAAGAAGTCGTGCCAAGTTGGCACGGGCATCTAAAGCCATGCGAGCGGACGGCCGTTGGCTCTCGTGCATGATGAAGTGATAAGATGGCTGACGGGGGAGAGGGGGGGCAACAGTTCTGAGAAGCAATCACTATGAAGCTGCAAGTCATTCTGTGTCAATCACACCCATCCAGACATTACTGAGAGTGACTGCTTGACAGAAGCAAGAGGATTATGGAAGCTACTAGTTGAGAACTACCCAAGACTCGACTCTACTACCCGACAGACACCTTCAACTCTATGAAATTACTATGAAAATGAGGAAAGCATTTCACTCTATTTCATATTCAGGCCATGTAAGTTAGCTTTAGTGTCCTCTCGTCTGGGCTTTTAGTCCCTCGGCTTTCGCTAGGGCCCTAGTTGGCACCGGTCGAACCATTACCCTGTTGTTCCCGCTGGGGTTCCCTCCCAGCCTGTAGTTGTTGTAGGCCAGATGGCTGTATGGGTTGTACCCCACAAACCCAGGGGTGGTGGGCATTTGCTGATGGAGACAAATGAGACAAAACACGAATGAGAAATGACACAAACAAGGGAGGAAGGGACAAAAAAAATGAAAAGGAGAACCTGCTTTTGTTTTCTGTCATGATTTGCATAAAACATGCAAAAAGCAGCAATCTTTGATAGCAGCACAACCCTAGCATTACTCTTCATCCACTTGTAGCAAAGCCACAGGCACTATGGGTGGTGGTGGTGGGACGCAAGTACGTTCTAAAAGGCTTTGTTAATTTTAGGGATAAAGATCGGGAGGATTTTAGCCAAATCTCATGGTGGCGTACGACCTGAAAAATGGGTCTCTAACCTTACAGGAATAACACTTAGAGTAATTACCAGGGATTTGGATCAAATATTTCAACCACACATGATTCAATGCATGTGGAGAAACTAAATTACTGTGAATGGTTCTCAGAATACATTTTAATGTACAATGATATGTGAAAGCCTCAAAGCACAAGGAGGCTTACACACTTTATGCTCTAAACATAGTATTTAATGAATAACCATGAAGGCTTAACTTTGTACGAGTCTACACACAATATATCAAAATAAAATAGATATTGTGATATGACTTAGTGCGATTATTAAATTGTGAAGGCTGTGATTTAATTACATATGTGCACTGCGGGTTTCGGATCAGAGCGCAGCACTGTGTGTTTACACATGCAGCTCATGATACAGTGACAGTAAATTAACTAAGATGCTGCGAGAGACCGAATCATGAGCTGCACATGTGTAAATGACCAGTGCCACGCTCTACTCTGAAACCCCCAGCGCATATTTACTTGCTAGCAAACCCACCAAAATAAAAGCTTGACTGTTTAATGTTTAAAATTTTAGAAATTAAGACAAACAGTATTATTGTACTTTTATAGTCGGACTATAGAATTATTTTACCTTGACAATATTTTCACAATACACATTTTGTTTAAAAAATTTTTATTAAATCACACCAATAATAATAATAGATTATTAATATTTTTGTCAAATACAAAAAAAGATCATAATTCTAGAATTATTAATTATTTCTATTTAAGTCACCTAGCAAAAATTCCACTATTTTTTTCATATAGCAATTTATAAATTGCATTTTTTCCAAAACCGTGCAGCCCTAATTCATTAATTAATACTTTTGGAGCCTGAAGTACATGGTATCCTCAGCAACTTACGGATTAATAGAGCTGTGTTAAACTGTACACGAAAATAACAAAAGCCACCCCGTGTGATACTGTGACCTTCCCACAATCCTCTCATCTCTAACGATATAGGTTTGGGTGATGGAGGGGAGGGGCCATATGGATGATTGGCATGTCCTGGATACTTACTGTTGTGGGGGCTGGGGTGGGGGCAGGGGTATAGGGTGGCCGCTCTGTGAGAGGAAGAGAAGGGAGGAAAATGTAATCGACTTTATTGAAATTAATGGAAAATCCTTCATCAGTGGTAAAGCCTACTTATTCGTCACATCTGCATCGGTTCAATGTGCACAAATTAATTCACACCACAAATGTTAGTCAATTACATCTACAAGACGCACACCCATATTTACACTATGTATAGAAAGTGGTAAAATTAAACAAAGAAATTGATTAATAAAGTAATTTCTGAAGATCTGATAAAGATGGGTGGGCTTTAAGGGGTCCAACCAATCAATTGAAATGTGCTCTTACTTGACATCTTGTTTGTAGGATTGAGGATATCAGGCTATCCCCATCATTTGGTTCTGAAATAGGGCAAAAACTTATTAGACGAATAGGCATGCTTTATATATGAGTGCAAAAACATGATCAACTTGCTCGAGCTGCAAACATCTACATATCAACCTGCTTTTGATCAAATATGTTTGGTTTAAAACAACTCTGCACCCACCTGTTTAGCTTTAATCTGAAATTCGAAGACATTGTTTGATTGAACATCCCACCGTGTGTGTGTGTTTGGTATAAATGAAGAGGTGGATTAATAGGAATGAAATGAGATGTTGCGTTTATGGATCTCAGGCCTGTAAGTTAACGTTAACGTTACTGGGTGAGGATAACGGCGAGAGGGCTTGCAGCAGCCTAAGATGTTTATTTATTGATGAACTTAATACAATGATAGCTACAAGGGGAGAACATAAAGGTTATAAACACGAAAAACAACGTAAAGGTGTTGTACTTGACGAGCTATACGCATCCCGAGTACATGAATGCTTGGACGGCGGAGATGCTAACGTGCAAAACATCAATGAATGAAAGCGGCTAACACTAGCTTTCACTAACAGTGAAATATCATATGAAAAACAAATTCAAATTCATATTCACATTTCAGGCAGAAAATGTGTTTTACGTTATTTGGATTGTGTTTAGCGTTTCTTATTTTTCATATATTCTTTAAAAACACAACCCGGTGTTATAGAAACAGCATTAGCTTGCGGGCTAAGTTACCACTTAAGTCAGCCAACCGTTGAAGATATGAAAATCATGATACGTATAAACAAAAATAAAACTTCATTTTTAAATAGGCATGTTTGTTATATTACAACACAGATAATAAGTTGTTTGCTGAACCCAGTAATATGCAATAAAACGCACAACATTAACGAACACTCACCCCAGCTTCTTTGTTCCCTCAATGGTGCTCCGCCAGGATGTGACACATTTTGAGCTGCATCTGACCTGATTTTCCAGTACATTTCTGCCCTCTAGTGGTCACAATCTAATACTGTACTGAGTCTGACCTGACGCCAGGATGAAAGAGAGAGATGGAAGCAAAATGATAAACTAAAACTAATAAATTTAGCCTTGGTGAACAATCCCACCAACCGAAAAACTTTTGAATGGGTGTGTACATAATCAAAAACTTCAATATTTTGTCAGATTTTTAGCAGTAAAATCAATGTGACCAATTTTTTACATTTTATTCTCTTTTAAATTTCTCATATTTGTACATTTATGATTGAGACATAATTATCACATAGCTAAATATTAAGTGTAAATATATAAGCATCTCAGTTTATATTATACATTTATATTTACTGAAAAATTTACATTTAGATGTAAAAGATTACATTTAAAGTCAAACCATTCAAGTATAAACAAATAAGACATTCGAAAATGCGCTATAAATGCTTATTTCATTAAATCCAACAACATAGGACAGTTTTTGTTACTAAATCTGAACAGATTGGTCTGTTATTACACATTCATCACCCTAAATATTCATTAAATCCATCACATAAAACGATATAAAACTTTCCCTTCTGAGCACCATGTCAACATATATTATTAGCTACAATTCACCAATATTCAACAGACTCAATTATGCATTATTTTGATTGCCAATCCATTAACTTTGCAGCTTCGTGACATGGCAGATTCAAAAACATCATTAAAAAACTAAAGAGAAACATTCACCACGACCACTTCAAAGATTTATTGGGCAGATATCACTCAATTCATGTAGCACTGTAAACACTTACGTAGAGAAGGCAACATGCTCCAAATAGACCAAGGTATAGGCTTGAAATCCTTTTGTTTGCCTGGTGTCAAAGTAAAGTCTCAAGGTATTTTTTCATTCGCTCCAACAAGTCTTGAATGCACCTGCTGTTCGGATGCAAACAACGAGAGCAGACGGTCCCTCGAGAGTTAGCCGAAGACCCAAGTGTCACTGAAAACCAGTCCTGTCTGATTGAATGGTCAAAGCAATTGCTTTCAATGTCTTTGATAAACATATATTGTTAAAAACATGTAAACAAGTATAAAAGTAATTTGATTTATATTTTTACTGAAGAGTCCTCTGTCTCACTGACAAGCTTCATCCCGCAGAATGTATCCCATCTTTCTCTGTGCATTGGTCACATTTCTGAAGTAACTAAACCCCAGCAAGCCTTTATTTCAGAAGCCATTCATTCACTGAAAAGAGAAGCAGAAAATGATGATGTCAGATAACTTTCTGTGTGAAACATGCCACTTATTCACAAAGACAAATGTTTCATTTCCATCTGTTTCATGAGCAATGATGGTAAGTGTCTAATTGAGTGCTCGGCTTTATCGAACGCAGCATGTATGCTGCAGAGCCTGCGTATGTTATTGATGTGGAGTGTGACACAGACCTCTGTATTGCGGCCTCAGCACACGGTTGTTAGGACAGTCCCGTCTCTGACTGAAGTTGATGTTGGTGTGGATGCAGCGTTGGTGCAGTGGCTGGGTTGGCCGCATGTTGTCACCCATACTGAGGAAGATCTGAGACGGCTGGTTTTGACTGAGGAGACGAAGAGACTGCATCTGAAAAGATATTGGAAAGGCAATTAAGATGTTAATCTGGGCTATATTCAATATAATATAATATAATATTTTTAAATAATATTCTTATTCAACAAAGATGCAGTGAATGGATCAAAAGTGAAAGTAAAAAAATATATATGTTTCAAAGGATTTCTATTTCAAATAAACGCTGTTCTTTTGAACTTTCCATTCATCAGAGAATCGTGGGAAAATAATCATTGTTTGCACAAAAATATTAAGCAGCACAAGTGTTTTCAACATTGATAATAAGAAATGTTTCTTGAGCAGCAAATCACATATGCTGATTTCTGAAAGATCATGAGACACTGAAGACTGGAGTAATGATGCTGAAAATTCAGCTTTAACATCCAAGCAATAAATTACATTTGAAAATATATTAAAATAGAAAACGGTCATTTTTAATAGTAATAATATTTCACAATATTATTACTGTATTTTTGATCAAATAAATGCAGCTTTAGTGAGCAGAAGATACTTCTTTCAAAAACATTAAAAAAGGTTAAAAAAGTGAAGTAAAAAAAAAAAACTGTGTATATAATTTGACCTCATACTCAAAGAAATTAAGCAAAGAATTATTAACGAAGAGCCAGTTTTTAAACTGTCAATAAATTAAATAAAAGTCAATTGTAATTACTTTTCATAATATTACGGGTTTGCTATATTGATGATCAAATAATTGCAGCCTTGAAATTTGAAATATAAAAAATATTTTACAGAGTTTTCAACATGTCACCTCTATCTGTGAGATGTAAATCGGCCTATTCATTAATATCCAGGTGGCTGTCTCAAGGCACGGTGGAATAGTTATCGACCCTTCATATGTGATAAAACGGGAGGTTTCAGGATACAGCTCCTCAATATCGAGCCCCATCAGTAAGTATGCATCATCTGAAAGACATATACAAAACAAGCGATGGGCTGAGATAAATAACACACACTTACAAGATATCTAGACACATTCCTACAGGACAATACATGATATCATATCACAATTATTATTTTGTTCTGGCAATGCCGACAGAATAAAATATCACTTCTTATCCAAGACCACCAGGTGGTAATACAAAGCCAAGTTTGTTTTCCCTTTCTTTTTTCATTAAGAGTTATGAAGGTCTTCTACGCAGAAGCAATATTTCACATTCAGACTGTGGAAGCCGTTCGATTTAATAATATTGCTGGAGGCAGTTTTCAATCAAATGTAATTTAATGTTAACAATAGTAACATAAATTCAATTTAATGTCAATACAATTAATATACATTTAAATTGAATGCTAATAAAAAGCAGCTTTAAAAATTAAAAAGTGTAAAAAAAAGATTTAAAAATTAAAAAGTGTAAAAAAAAGAGCACCCCCGGCTCCACTGACATTAGTGACGAAGTACATTGGTATTTGTGGGCACTTACGTTTATATGTAATCCTTGTAATGGTCTCTCTGCTCAGCATACGGTTTAGAAATACATTTGTAGGCTCTGAAATCTGAAGAGTCAGATATCAAAGAAAACATTTAAAACCAGATTTCTGCAGCTTTTTCTGATGAAAAGGCAGAGTTTCATAAAACATGGTGTTGTTCAGTACATTAATCACAAATGACATGAGCGTTAACTTACTGCTGAGATATTTCATTACAGCTTCACCAAATCACAAGCATAATCAATAATAGTCTAGTAGAATTTATTCTAGGGGCATCTGGACGTGTTTTTTTTTTCTTCCATGTACTGAAGATGAATGGCTTTCATCCATGTGCCTTCATTAGTAGCAGAATGGTGGAGATTCCCCGACATCACGATCACTGCGAAGCGGGATGAAAGTGAACGGGGGGAGGTGGAGGAGGCTGCAATGCTGCAATACCTTCATCTGAACTGTGGCAGTTCTGCCCCAATTTACACAGAAGTCACGATTCAAACCATCAGGGAGGCGACTCCTGCTGCAATCGGCGAGTCTTACGTCATGCTGTGTGATGAGGTTAATGCCGAGGAATCTCCACCATTATCTCACTTTAGTTTGGAGGAGAAAAGTGGTAAATAAACAGAAATCAAGACAAGACTCAATGGCCTTTTTAAAGATGAATTCGTTAACTAAATTTGAATGTAAAACATGGCATTTCACATGTCCACTAGGGTTCATAGATTTGTTTATTATTTTAATATGTTCCTTGAGGTTCACTTATGATGTTAAAAAACAACAAATATGCGTATACTGTATCCAGTGTCGACAGCATCAGTGATTATACTGGGCTCTATTTGCTTTTGACGTGACGCTCACATGGCAAAATGTCAGCAGGTAAAGGTGGGATCAATAGTTTTTGAAAAACACTTTTGAAAACTGTGTTGGAACGACTACCAAAACACACTTGTAACCAATCAGCAGTAAGGGACGTGTCTACTAATGATGGGGAGGAGAGAGAGCGCAAAAAATATTAGCCGAACGACCATAGAAAGAGATGGCAGATAAAAAACAAAAGAGGAAAATGAAAAACAAAAAGCGGAACTTAAAATTAAAAAGAAGGCTTATGATTAAGCAAGAGATAGAACTCGTGTTCAAATCGGAGAAGCTTACCAGCGCTGGAGAGAACTCAAGGAGCGAGAAGGCCTAACATCGGACGCGAGTTTGCTTTATTTCTTCTTGATAGGCGAGTAACATTGTTTAGCTTTGTTTCACAGAACTTATGCTGGCCATTGCTTGAATATGCTCGTGTGTCATCTTTGCTTGTTTTTTCATTTGCGATATTATTGTCGTTCGATTCAGCTATGAAAAAGACACATATAAGCCTGGAGTGTTTAAACCTCATCCACTGTCTGTTTCAAGCGTCTGCTCCCAAAGTGTGTCTGAAAAGTAAGATAATTTACTCCTAATGTTTGTTTCCTTTGGTTCCTCATAGTGATGATATAACCCCCTAATCTTGCTATAGTTGTAATATATTCCTTACTATGACTGTCGTGCTCGTGCTATCGAGTTGATCATGATAACATAGTGGGTGTTAAGCGTCGTCTTCCACGCTTCCTCTTCCAAAACTACTGATCCCACCTTTAAGCAACTGAACGCCAGTAGGCGGGGCTTATGATGCGATGATGCTGTTGTACATTAGGCTTGTTTGAGATGCGCCTTGCCTCGCCTGAAATGTAGTCGAGAGTAGGCGGCTGCAGTGAGAGGAGGAGTGATTTTTGAAAATAACAAAAACTACGACTTTATTAAACATTGTATTGTCTTCCGGTTCTGTCCGCAGTGACGCTGCTGATGTAAGACGCTGCTGACGTGTTCTCTGGTAACCAGTAACTAGAGAACACGTCAGCAGCGTCTTACGTCACCAGCGTCACTGCGGACTCGTGAACGCAGAACCGGAAGAGAATACAATGTTTAATAAAGTCCTAGTTTTTGTTATTTTTGGAGCAAAAATGTTTTTTCGATGCTTCAAAACATTCTAACTAACCCACTGATGTCACATGGACTACTTTGATGATGTCTTTATTTCCTTTCTGGACAAGGACAGTATACCGTACATACATTTTCAATGGAGGGACAGAAAACTCTCGGACTAAATCTAAAATATCTTAAACTGTGTTCCGAAGATGAACGGGCTTGGAACGACATGGGGGTGAGTCATTAATGACATAATTTTCATTTTTGGGTGAACTAACCCTTTAAGCTGTGTCGTCAGTAAGTCGTTTCCCATCATGCTTTTGATCAGCGCAGTCGGTGGAGAGCAACTGCACGCGACTGCAGAATCCGACACGTGCGCCTTGCGGTCACGAGAGTTTTTTGACATACGTCAGCATGACATCAGAGCAAGTCTGACCACACTCGGACACATTTCTAACCAGATTTTGCTCATCTCAAACAAGCCTAATGACTTACAATGATTGCCGCGTACAAATGTACGTTAAGTCCATGAGACCGTAGGATGTCCCATTTAGTAATTTTAGGTTTCAGAAGGGTGCTCAAGAGTGCCCCCTTTGCAATCTATATGCGCCCTCCTCGATGCGTACTTTTGCCGAGCCCGCACTGAAGCAAGCTCCACAGCAGACTTCTTCCCGACAGTCAAAGCGGCATTACGTCACGAAAGTGCGGACAGGTAGACCGAGAGTGTTTAGGGTGCCATATGGGACAGGGCCTTATTTCAAATAAGCCTACTCTGAAAAAATAGATTAGTGGTTCAATCCCATTCTCCCTTTTCCCAGCATGCACTTGGGCATGATTCATTAATATGGTTTGAACACTTGTCAGTTTTATTTACACTGTTTTTGTTAATTTTGTAATCATGCGTGTGAAGTCAAACAGAAGTCAAGCACTTTACTCTCCATGACATATAAATGTCTCATCAAAAATATAATAAAACAGATTTCATAGAGCTCTTTTTAAGTTGTGACTTCATAACCTTATTTTTACTTTCTTAACATAGGAATAGTAAGTAAATAAAAAAGTAAATATTCATGGATATTTTTTCACTATTACTTGATAAATCAGAATCTTTTGCAGTCCACTTTACAAGCACAGAATGCATATGCCAAGGCAATACTGATGAATAATGATGAAGAGGTGACTTTGAATAAAACAATAAAAAGCTTTTAGTGATTATGTTTTATCCTGGCAGTCAAATCAGAAAATCTTTTTCTGGCCTTGTGTACCAAGGATGCAAATTTTTTGCTCAAGAGAATTGTTATCAGAAAAGTATTTTATTTATTTTGCAATTCGTCAAAAATATGATTCTCCTTTGTCATTGAGTTGTCATTTATTTTTAAATAATTTAGAGTCTTATAAATGAATTATATTTTATTAGTTTGTTCCCTTGAAGCAACATGGATGCATAATGAATGTAGTGGATATGAAACAATGGGGGCCGAATACTGCAGATTTTTATATTTGCTTAACTTTTGAGAAGAAAAACGATTTAAGAGCAAATTCTATTCGATTATTGTATGTTAAATTTCCAGTATTCATTAAAGGTAACATTGCTTTAATAATAGGGCATGAAAAATTTCAATGAATAAAATTACTACATTATATAATGCTTAAAAATACCAAACCATTACGTTAGAACTTTTATGGCATGTTGATTCATGTACATTAATATTTGACCTGATCTGTTAAGTGTACTGTATATAATGTTTGCTAAAGATGAATGGAGTTTAAGACTGATTATGAAGTGTCTCCTTTCCATTGTATACATTTAAAGCAACGGAGTCTACTAACCTTCATGAAGATAGAAACAACTGCAATTCCATTAGGACTCCTGGCGGCATCACTGTAATTTAAATACAAATCCTGATTATAATGGATGAGTTGCACCTGCGAAAAGAAAAAAAAGAAGAAGTGTGACTTCCAGTAAAACACTAACAAACACCTGCTAGGTAAACGTGTACACGGAGCCAAACCATTGTGACTGTACGACTGCCTGTGATCTAATCTCAAAACAGCTATTATCCATAAAATATGCCCATAAATGATGTGTATATAACAGCATATCTCCATTAACTTCCTTTATGTCAGCTTGTAATCTCGTGTGACACTGTAATGAGGGTCAGTACATTAATCCGAATAAATATTTTGCTGTGTGTTGTGTATAAATTGTTAATGAATTGTTAATGGGAACATTATGAAGCTCCTTTATGCTCCTCCATCCTGCTTTATTGTTCTTTCAGCGCAGCTCAATGAAAGCAGAGAGATGGAGCCCAGGAAATCTGCTGCTTAATTTTCAGTGGCTCAAAATTGCATTGGAGCTCATTAGAAAATATGCTTCAGTCATCAGTTATAATGAGCTTGCTTGTCAGCTTCAGGATGAAGTTGTTGGAAAGCTGCTACCCATATAACCTCATTTGGATTAGGAAAATGAAGAGAAGCTGCTGACTTCAGTGAAATCAGAGGTGAGGTGAGGATCACAGAGGGACGCACATCTTTGCGCCAAGATAAAGAGTAAACATTTCAACTCATTAAAATGATTTGATATGTCTGGCACAAATTGATGTTCTTGACAGTTTGAAAACTGGCTGGTGTTGTGCATTAATAATAGTTTGCTCTCTTTCAGTATTAAACTATATACAAACACTGTTTTTTATAGACTTTATGGACTTCTACTTTACACTTTTTTAAATGTTTTTGAAAACATAAAAAAAACATTTATTATCGTAGTATTATTGTTAAGAAATTATCAATGTGGAAAACAGTTGTGTAAAAATTTTTTTTTCAAGGTTCTTCAAAAGAACAGCATTTATCTGAAATAGAAAGCTTTTCTAACGTAATAAATCTCTTCATTGTCACTTTCACTTTTGATCAATTTAATGCATCTTTGCAGATTAAAAGTATTAATTTCTTTCCAAACAAAAACCGGTAGTGTGTAATGTTACAAAAGCTTCCTATTTCAGATAAATGCTGTTATTTTGAACTTTTTATTCAAAGAATCCTGAAAATTATTGAACACAACTGTTTTTAACATTGATAATAACAATAAATGTTTCTTTAGCAGCAAATCATCATATTAGAATGATTTCTGAAGGATCATGTGACACTGAAGACTGGAGTAATGATGCTGAAAATTCAGCTTTGTCATCACAAGGATAAAGTACGTTTAAAAATATATATTCAAATAATTTTTATTTTAAATTGTAATATTTCACAGTATTCCTATTTTTACTGTATTTTGTATCAAATAACAGCAGCATTGGTGAGCATAAGATACTTCTTTTAAAAACATTAATAAATCTTCCAGATGGTGTATGCATTGTATTTGTTATATATTTTTGAATAGATTAATAGATTCAAACAAAAAACTGGTCTGTCTGTACTCAGACTGTTTTTCCTCACTATACACATGTACATTTAAAGCACATGACCAATTCATATCCTGTGACTGTGCAAACTTGAAGATGACTCATTGCTTTGTTTTTATTTAGCCTATTCTTACAGCAAAATCACTTCCATAATCCTGACTTTTGCCCTTAATCCTGAATAAAAGACTTTATTAATGCAAACTCAGTGACACCGCACAATGCACACATTTTCAGAGAAATCACAAATTTATCACTCTAGTGAAAAATGCAACAATTGATTTGGCTTTGGACAATTTCTTTGATCTGCTCAAATGATATCTCATTGTCTTATTCTGTTTCAAGTTGTCGAAGGAAAGCGGACTGAGAGAAGGAGATATTTTCATTTCTAGTGTAAAAATAATTTGATAAAAGGGACTAATTACACAATTTTGCATACTCCATTAACTTCAGTGCCAGTACTTCAAGGGTCTGTCGCCGCATCCAGACGTTTGAAGGAAGACAGGTTTAACTGAATCCCACAGAAGTGATGTATTTCCAGGCTCTATGTTGGCTCACCTCTCCAGGGAAGGCCTGGCCGTTGAGCAGGTGCTCTGAGCCCTGCCTGTCCTCGCTGCCAAAGTGAAGCCGGATCTCCTCCAACCTGTAGCTGTAGCTCAGCGGCCCGCCAGAGATGTTCACCAGGTGTGACTTGTCTGGGCGCAGTGACACGTGTCGGCCCGTGTTATACATCGTTCCACTGACCTGAAAAAAAACAAAACAAACATGTCTGGATCAGACATTCTTATTTCTGACCTTTTATGATAAAACAATATTAAGTGATTCCATGTTTACATTTGGGAGGACAAAGGTGAAGCCGTTTTCACCTGGCTAAGCTAAAAGGCATTACATGCACTGTTTGACATTGTGCCTCCCGCACAGGGAATTCCTGGAAAAATAGGCACTAACACAATGAACACATTAGTTAGTTCTGATGGACTGAGGTTTTTCCAGGTAAACCTGGTTGACAGGTGCAACTGCTGAGGTAGGAATTATGTAGAAAATGCATCTGAGCTGAAAGATGAGAGCCTATGGAAAACAACACATGGAATATTTTGCCTTTACTTGATGTTAACGTTGCTAGTTATGATTACTAATTGAGACCAAAATGTGTCTTGTTGTGGCGCCCTAGTGATCAGAACATCTTTGTAAACAGCTGTGAGAGTGTGCGTGAAGGTATCCTAATGGGAGATTTCCAATTCCAGTCGCCTCATTTGTGATCTAGAGACAGTTTAAGAAGTGCTGATCCCTCAGGAACATGAGAATGAGCGATACATTTAGCCTGACGTGTCATAGGATAAATTCTGAGCAAGAGGTAATTACGATCACTTTGAACTGTAGCTCTGAAATAATTTAGAATAAAATGGCAACTTAAGCTGAACTATAATACTAGGAATGACACTGATTATTCACAGGATTAATCACAACTGTCCACCAAAACACAGAAGACTGTGGAAGCCCGTTTCCAACTCTGACCCTTTTTCCTCATAATTGCAATTTTATTTCACATAATTGAGTGACTTCATGTCTCACAACTGTGACTTTATCTCAGTTGTCACTTTATTTCTCACAATTGCAACTTTATATCTCACATTTGTGCCTGTTTCTTGTAATTGCAACCTTATTTCCTGTAATTGCGTCTTTATATCTCACAACTGCCACTTTATTTCTCACCAGCATTATTTTAGTTATATTTATACACTATTATAGAATTAGCTTATTTTATATTTTTTAATTTTAGTTTACGGTTGAGTAATTTTGTTATGTTCTTTTGTAATTTTTATTCGTTTTTTCAATATTTCTATTTAGCTTCAATTTATATTTATTTCAGTTTTAGTAATTGTAGTACTTCAACTTAAATGTATTTTATTTCAGTTAGTTAAAAACAGAAAAAAGATTTAGTTTACAATTTTCAACTAATATTTATATTTCAGCTTTTTTCAATTAACAAAAATAACTTTTAATAGTTTTAGCCAACAATAACAACACTGTATTTCACAGTTGTGACTATATTATATTTCATATTTTAACCTATGTCTCACAATTACCTGAACTAAAGAGACGTAGAAAAAGAACAAAATAAATACGCTATTTCCATTCAGTAACTTAAAGGTGCAATATGTAACTTTTCTTCAAAAATGAATCCTTTTTGTATTGCCTGTGTGTGAAGGGGTTGTAATCACACATTACAACGATCCACTTGTCAGGTTTTGCTATTACCTCTGAAGGCCAGTATTCCTATTTCTATGTGAAGTCTCTGGGTCGGATTTTCTGCGAAATCCATCGGATGTGACGTGCATGCGCGCTCCCGAGCCTCTCTCCTTTTTATATACAGTCTATGCGACGGCACTGCAGCTAAACGACATGGAGTCTGATAACACCCAAAAACGACCTGCCTCCAGCACAACACACACTCCAACACAAACTCCACATAAATATAAAAAACAAAACAAAAATGTATCTGCTGAAGCTCGTCAGGCCAAACGTGAATCGGATCGACTTGGGACGAAAGCACGGATCAACATCGGCAGAGTGTTTGAATTATGTAGAGACCTCCGCTATTTTTATTGTGATAAATTACAAGTTTTCAGATATGCTGAAATAATGGTTAACTGTAATGAAATAGCAAGGTAAACTACAACATACATGAGACATGAAATGAATACAAAACACTGTTCCAGGATAACAAAAAGTAGGTGCTTTAGGATGTAACTTTTATTTTATGTACTAGATCTACTGTCCAACGTCACTCATCCCACTACTATCATATTGTTTATAATATAATACACATTTCCAGACACGTTCAGTACAGTAATGTTACTTCCTACGATCTTACTGTTACACTGAAATTGTTCAGTCTAGTTCACAAACCGTTTTCGTTATCATATTATACATTCATCTATATAGGCTATGTTGACATTGCTGATTGTGAAAGATACACGAATAGTTAGTGAAATGCCTTATGCTAGATAACACCACATGTCGGCTAAATGCAGTCAATGTAACGTTATCATGGTACGAGCATGGAGCATTAGTTCAACGTCAAGCTGATAAAAGTAGACTATTATTGTAACGTTGCAGTGGGAGTTTACATGAGTTTCCAGGATGTTGTGTGATGCTTTCTCCGGTGTGTTGAAAGTCTCAGTGTGGCCGGTACCATGAGTGCTCGCTCTTGTGTTCGAGCACGCGCAAGAGCACGAGCACTCTTGTAAAAATTGGTTGCAATCTGAAACATCACCGATAGAGGCCGCTAAAAAATACATATAGCACCTTTAAGAATGAATGAGCGCCTTGTCTATCTAAAAGAGACCATAAACTTTTCCATTACAGCCTACAGTTTTCATGCATAAATTCCATTATTTAACAGCCCTCTGGTTACCAACGCCACTAACCAATCAAACTGACTTGAATTCATGGAGAACATTTAGGTCTCCAATGGAATTTTCTCTAGGAATAACATCAACTCCCCACATACAGAGTGCAGTCATAACAAGCTCAAAGGAGCAGTGCATACATAAATGTAATTGGGTCTCTTGAAATAAGAGCAGAAAAACCTCCAGAGAAAAACAACAGCAGACTTTTATTCCGGGTTCCTGACTAAGGGTACTAATGTATTATTGAGAGAAGATGAACTAGGGTATATTATCCATAAGCACAACCTCTTGGAGCTTCACTGGAGAATTCTTCAGTGACAGGCCCTGTCAGCACAGATGGTGAGCCTGCCTAATCTCCCCCAGCAGATGCACAGCAGCATTAATCATAAAACAGGATGTTAAATGAGGAATTAACTCCTTCCTTTCCCTCCTGCTCTATGGAATAAATAGAGCCCCTTTGCACTCAAGATCTGACAACAACCGCCTGAATCCCTTTAGAGGTCAGAGTGATGTCTTATGTACACCAACCATCAATAATCAAACACTGCATTTGTGTCTGGTAAATGAGTTTAGTCACACTAATCTGCTGACCGACTGCAGGTGCACTTCACTGAAAGCAAATGGCAAGCAATTTTGCACGCCGTAGAGAATTAGCGATCTCATTAGAGCACCGTTGTAACAAACTAACAGTAGTGGAGCATAGCCATCTTCAAAGGTTTCATTTGGAAGGCTTCACTATTATGCTTGGCAAAAATAATTGAAGATCTGCTTCATTGGCCAATTGAGGTATATAAAAAAGTCACCCAATGAATTAAGATTCAGCAACAAACCAAACAGCTAGCTGTCTAAACAACAGCCATAGAAGTAAATACAGAATGTGATTAGATTTGACAAATGGACCGCTAAGCTGGGGTTATGCCGTGTGACCCGATCTCGTCAAAATCCCAGTGAATTATGGGACAGTGTTCTAAACTGAATAATGTGTGACTGTACATCTTCTACCAGTTTAAATAATGTGAAAAATAACTACTCTATATATGATTAAACAGATATTATAGAAAGGATTATGCTGCAACTGTCAATCATAGTGTCAGTGTTATTTTAAGAAAATACGATCAAGAGCCTTCTTGTAGTTACTTACCTTACGTTGCCCTGCATTGAGTCGTAGTGGGTTGAGGAAGGGGTCAAAAATCATTCGACTGGTTTCAATGTTGACAGGCGACTGTCTCTTCCCAATTGCGCACAGGTTCCAGGCAGTGTTAACTAATCCCCAGAAAGATGGCACTAGTAAAATATAAACATAAAAAGTGAAGTTTAGAGCATTTGCTTTAAATTTCAGGAGGAGAATGTTGCGTTTGCCATTTTGTAATGGGTCATGATCTGATTGGCAGGGGATATGTTGGGGATTATCTCACATTGCTCATCCAAAATTTCCTCCGTTAGCCCCATCCATGGTGTAGATGTTGTTTATGAGTTTGGATCTAGTGGTTGATATCCTTTGAGACAACATTTTGACAAGCAATCAATTTTACCACTTAATTACCAGGCGCACCACTGGTTCTCTTTTGAGGTCATTATTGTGCATCCAAATAAGAGAACTGCATGTTAATGCGATTCGTTTCGCAAAAACAAACTCAAGAAGAAAAAAAGAAACACAGATGGAATTAGTCACATTAGACACACAGCCAAAGGACATACTTGACCTTATATGATTAATTTATTCTCTGAGATGTTTCACAGTCCTTAAACAGTAAACAACTTTATTGCTGATTGGAATGAGATTTTTATAAGTGCATTGAACCTCAAACCTCATATTTGTTGTTTTGAAAATTAATATGACAGATCAAGGGAGGAGCCCAACACCTAGGACGTCCCTGGGCCCTATTTTAACGATCTAAGCGCATGGTCTAAAGCGCACGGCATAAGTCCGAATATACTTTTGCTATAGTTTAACGACGGGAAAAATGGTTGGCAGGCGCGGCGCATGGTCTAAAAGGGTTGTCCCTATTCTCTTAATGAGTAATGGGTGTGTTTTTGGGTGTAACGTGCAATAAACCAATCAGAGTCTCTTCCCCCATTCCCTTTAAGAGCCAGTTGCACTCGCGCCATGGTGGATTCGCTGTTTACATTCGCGTGTGGAAAGACTGAACGCTTCTCCAGTGAGGAAACGGATCTGCTCGTGCGCGAGTTTAAAGCGCGCGAACAGACCATCCACGGGACAAGCCGGATTCCACCATATCTTTATGTACACAATAACAATCTTTTACATTGTAATCCTTTTATTTTTGGCTAGTTTGTGTGCTGCTGCGCATCCCTGTGTGTGTAATAAGCAGAGTGTACGCGCGTTGTGGACCTGCCTATAGGCGCACATACTAACGTGCTCTTTAAATAACAAAAAAAACACTGAGCCATTGACTTTAGACCAGGTTTCAGTAGGTCAATGGCGCAGTCTATTTGAGTAGCCTCAAAATAGCAATGCGTCTAAACACACCTCTTTTTCAGACCAGCACGCCCATGGGTGCAAATGCATTTGCTATTTAAAGAACGTGGTGCAGGACGTGAAAATGATAACTAGCAAAAAACACTTGCGTTGCGCCTGCCGTCGCATTGCACCGGGTGTTTGATAGGGCCCCCTGTCTTTAAAAGCTAAATCTATAATCTAATCTATAAGCTAAAAATAAAAGTTCTGTCATGATTGGGTGTATTTTTGAACTATCCCTTTAACTGAATCCAGCATTAGGTTAGTGGCAGGAGCGCGAGCGCAGATGATATTGTGACCCTGACCCCCGCACTGGACACGTCAAACTCATTAGATCACCAAGAGCTTGGATGCTTCAATGCAAAGAGTATCAACTTTTGTCCCCATAGGCTGAGATTATAAACAGATTTATCCAGCATGAACAAGCGATCCCCGACCTGATTTTCCTCTCATCCAGCCTGGCTCTGCAGGAGTGAAACCGGACTGGGCTACGTGATGTGTTGCCTTGTTAAATCAGAATGAGAAAATGCATTAGATACAAAGATTACGCCATAGGAAGCTGTGGAACAAGCTCTGTTCCTTCGAATGCATGAAAGCTATTTACGCGCTATTCGTGTATTTTCAGCATCTCTTTGTACAGTGACCTAAATAAATGATTGTTCCCAAAACTGTTATCTAACTAAGGTGTAATCCTGCTTTTGTCTGGGATCCTAACAGCCACTGAGCTCATTAGGTGGAATTGCTTTTTATTTTTTTCACTTCTCACTTTCACTGCCTCTCTGTGCTTTCTTAAATGTCAAGGACAGACAGAATATGCAACTGCTTATAAAATTGAAGGAGGAACCAGTAAGAAATGTGTGCTTATTTAAAAGTAGACTCAGCTCAGCCCATAATTCATAATTCAACATGTAAGATAGCAAAATTGTAAAGCCAGGTTGTCGGACACAAGTTGTATCATCTTGATCTTGAACTGGAAAATGGAAAAATACAAAAACTGTAAATATTAACATATACATACATTTAATTTTTTTATATTTTTTTTATTCTATAATATTTTGTCTAGGCTATAATAAGCATTAATAATAAGCATTAAAAATAATAATTTAGGTATCACAACATCATAAAGTACATAATGAAACATGTATATTTAATTTGAGATTTGTTAAGATTACATTTTATGCTATTATTAAATTTAAGATAATCTAAATGTAAAAATAAAGAAATCAAGTAGACAATTAAGTATCTAACATCCACTATACAGTATGTCCAGGACTGATTTTTAAAATATTTAGATATGGTGAAGATATATCATGCTTTCTTTTTTTTTTTTTTTAAAGAGCGGCAACACAAAAAAAATTAACAGCTCTATAACAAACCATGCATTCAAAAAATAAAAATCAACAGCAGCAGCCTGAGTTTATGTTTAAGGTCCTGTTGAGTGTGTTGGTATTTTTTAGCTGAACACTCTCTGAATCCATTGTTAAGGTCAGCTGAGCGTTTTGAGCTCTGTTGCTAACAGTCTGTCATATCCAGAGTGATATAGTGATTTTGCTGTAGCAATTGATGAGTGGTAGACAGATGGCACCCTCATCCTCAGGGATCTGTGCCAGATTTGGCTTTGGGTTCAATACATTAATGAGAACTCTGTCAAAGTCCTTTTTAGGTATGACAGGGGACAAATACATCAACAGTGTACAGTACAATGCAAGGCGCTGAGGTTACGTCATACTGAAAGCTGCATAAAGTCTTAAATATGGAAGAAGCACATTCATTTGATGTATTTTTACATATTCTCTTGGCTTTACACGTTTCTGCAACTGAAGATTTTTTTAACAGTGCAGTCTTCCAGATGAAGAGAAAGACATTCAATTGTTATGCTTTGTTCAGATTTGCTTACACAATGTTTGTTTATACCCCTGCCCTGAGCACAAGTGCTGATGGGAGATAGCTGAACATATACATTTAATCACAGTATAATATGAACATCATTACTCCAGTCTTCAGAGTCACATGATCCTTCAGAAATCATTCTAATATGCTGAATGCACACACACTGTCTCTGGTTTTGCTTGTGAAATATAACACATGTTGTTTTGTGTGCAGGTGAGACAAGTTTTCACCATGCAATCCAAAAGTAGAACATCTCATAGCAGCTTCAGCAGAACCCTCAGGAGAACAGAAGAGATGTTCTCAAGCAATTAACATTGTAAGATCTTTCTGCACAGCTATGTAAGCATAATGAGAGTGTGTCAAAAACAGGACAGAAATATTCATTCATGAATATGCACACATTAAAGAGAGGTAAATATCTCAAAAGAGTGAAATAAAGTCCATGACTGAAAATAGCCAATGCACGTCAATCATGAGACTTTTTGGTGTTAACTGATTAGACAAAATTATAAAATGGAAAGGGTTTTTTTCCTTCTAAACTCAAATTAGTCTCTCAAACATCTTAAAATATAAAACTGGCCCTTTTTAACTGAACGATATGAAAGCAAATTTGTGTTGCTGACTGAGAATAACATTTTATTCCTGTTGTAAGTATGATGAATCAATCATAAATGCACTTAAAGCTGATGTGTGTAATCTTTTTAGGGTTAAATACTTCCTCCTATTGAATATGCAGAGACAGCTAAGGCAGCCAACTTGTAAGTTTGATTTAGCTAAAAAGTGTAAACGCTGTCTCTGTGGTGCTTTCAAAGCATTTCCTTTTTTTGAGCATCCGACCACAACAATCCAGCAACAGTGGCTCAACCAATGACGTGCGCTTGGGGTCGGTCGGGGTTATCTGTTTGTTGACCAATGGCAGACAAGGGGGGTGTTTGGAAAACCTGTTTTGAAAAAAAATGATTGTTTCCATTTTATTTGGAGGTGCAGAAATGACACGCACTTCCCCTATGAAGTACAACTTCAACTTCACTTCACAACTATGCCTGATATTGTACAATAAGATCAGATTTAACCGTAACTGATATATTCTTTGACAACTGAACAAGTGTCACAAGCGCTTAAGGCAAACACTAAAAGATTACAACTAAACCGTTGCCTTTAGCATGCATTTGGACAAGCAAAAGAGTGTTTTACTTGTGAGGACTGTTTTGAGATGAATCCAACATGCTCTGGGAAACGGATGATGTTTGCTCTTTGAATGCTTTCTCGTCCTCTTTCTTTCAAAGTCCCTTTTTAAGTCTCAAGGACATTTACGCAATATAAATCCAGAGAGTTTTTCTCCCTTGCAGAACGCTTAATAAAGAGGTAAATTTATGTGCAATGCATATATTTATGAGTTGCTATAGGGCTTACTTGATATCCCTTACAACCATGATTGATGCTGCACTGCTGTGTCCTTGCAAGTAGATCTTGCATAACTTTGTTTTAATTGATTTTTTTTTTATAAATATAAAGACCCTTCTTTGTGAATAAGTAGGAATTGTATGGATCTGTCCCCTATAGCTTCTTTTTTTAAGCATACTAGTGTTCAAAGGGCTCCTTTGCTGGTTACATACATTACTGACTGACTACATAATTAAGTATTTCGAATAAAACTCAAAGTGTCTCAGACCTCTGCTTCAATAGTAAGCATTAATCAGTTGAGACCACAAGCTGTAAAAATAGATTAAGCTATAACCAGGCCACACGGGATCAGCGCCCGCAGAACAAGATGTGCGGAGAATTAATTCATCCAGTGTTTTACGCCTGCGTGTTCAACTATATTCGATATGATTTGATTATTATTACATTTTACAATGTTTAAATCCATTTTGCCAAATTCTACAGATTTTGTATCGGAAAATGCTAATCAGATCACAAGACTATACACTTCTATTTAAAAGTTTTTAAATGTTTTTGAAAGTCTCATTTGCTCACCAAGTCTAAATTTATTTGATTAAAAGCACAGTAAAACTGATGTTATAAAATATTATTACATGGCTTGGTTGAATTCTAATGTAGAATGCGGTCTGTTATTTCTTGATAACAGACGCTGCAAAGTATAACCATAACACACCGTTGCCATGAAAAACAGAGCGTTGCCATGGACGCAGTTCAGAGACTATTTTCTTTAGCGGAAGCAATACAATCGTTTTTAAATCAATAAACTCCCCTTTAAATCAATATTTTGTGTCAAATTATTGATTTATTTGGTAGGTAGCCATGTGATAAGCGGGATAATGTATAGTGAGGCGGTTGTAATAGCGAATACAACCCCTTCAGGATGATTCAAGACCCCATAATCAGCCTGTCGGGGTTGTAGTCGCTATAACAACCGCCTCGCTATACATTATCCCTTACTTATTACAATTTAAAGGTTTCTATTAGAATATTATTTTAAAATGCAATTTATTTCTGTGGTGTCAGAGCTGAATTTTCAGCATCATTACACCAGTCTTCAGTGTCACATGATAATTCAGAAATCATATTTTTTTTATTTATATTTCTTATTATTATTAATGTTGAAATTGGTTGTGCTGCTTAATACTTTTGTGGAAATCGTGATATATTTTTTGAGTAGAAAATCAGAAGAACAGTAGCCTGTTAATTTGAAATAGAATATTTTTGTAACAATTTGTAACAGTGTTTTTAATGAATATTTGCTGAATAAATGTACTTTAAAAAACAGTGTCTGGGTAACGCATTACAAGTAATGCGAGTTATGTAATCAGTAGAGATGTGCCCGAAGCCTAAATCCGAATTCGGAAAGGCACAGAAAATGAGTAACGCATACGGGGCCCCTAAAAGTTAGGCTTGCTGCGGTAGTTGGTTACATAACATTACAGTGCATCAGATTTCACTTCTCACGTGAAGATAGTAAGGAGAGAAGAATGACAGGGTGGACGATTTAGTGTGAAACAGATCCTGAGCGTCATTGAACAATAATATCTTATCTTGTTAAATGAGTGGTCCGTACCGTCCCTCCCTATGAGTGTGATCCCAAATTCGAAAGTGAAAGTAAAAAGCGTGCGCATTCAAGCAACACATTGATAGCAGCTCCTTGACACCCGCAAATTATATACAATATAATTAATTACCCAAATATAATTGCGAAAGAAAGCAAAAGCATATTTTTTTCACATTACCATGTCCTTTCCGAACATAGCATTTTTCTTCGGCCACATCCCTAGCAACAAAATAGCTTACTTTTTCAAATAAGTAACGAAGTTAGACTAATTGTAAGCATGCATTTACTCATCTCATTTGCACAAAAACAGATTCAGTATTCTTCAAAATGAATAAAAACAGTGAATTGCAAACTCGGAATATTACGCAAACCTGCAATAATTAAATATAGGCTAAATAACACAAATATACTTTACGTATTTTTAATCTCACTTTATTAACCTATGTCTTTCCTGGTGACCTTCGATGATCCAATTCAACCATAACAAAAAGCAAAAATTACTCTATATAAACATCACATTTGTTTTTTTTTGTTTATTGCTGATGAAAGAGTGCTGAAATGTCTCTTTTCCTGCGAAAACTTTCAGCCCCAGCATGGCAGCACAGCTGCATGGTTTGTTTGCGCTGCGCTCTATACTGTACAGGAGTGAATTTGTATTTCCTTCAACTTTTTAGTGTGAAAGGGTCTTTACATTTGACAAAATATAACTTCTTTTTGGTTTTTAAAAACAAGCAAGAAAAGCCAGCCCAGGTGAGAAAATGGCACACATTACTTTCCATAAAAAGTAACTAAGTAATGCTTTTTGTAAAACAATATAGTAACACATTCATTTTAAAAGTAACTTTCCCCCACAGTTAAAAACTGTACATAAAACAAAGAACATTGGAGTAGCCTATGTTTTACAAGAAAAGTCTTTGTCTTTCTATATAAAAATTTCTCGTTTAATTCAGTGTCTTGCTGTTTCTTCGTATTTATTAATAAAATTGACTTATTTCCGAGTGTAAATGGTTTTTAAGTAAATCCTACACCATTTTTTAACTACTAATTTATTTTAAAAAACAGACTGGGGAGTGTCTGGGAAACTTGTTTGAAACACTCATTGTTTTTGCACACAATTCCGTTTGGTGATTACACACTTCAGCTTTCAAGTTCACTTTTAAAATAACCTCTATCTTGCATGTATATCATTTAACAACCTTAAAGGTATCAGGCTAACTAATCTAGTGAAATGTAGGCACTATAAACTCCCCATTTAATCTCCCAACTATGATGCAGCAATTGCAAAGAACTGTTAAATACTGTTCACACCATTTGTGTAAAATGCACCTCCTTCACACCGTGTTCACATACATTAAAAGTGTGAATCAAACAGAATAAAATATTCATTGGCATCCTGAAGTTTTATGTGCTATAAGTCAACACACAAAGCCTCTGCAGATCTTGCGAGTCTTAGTGCGGCAAGCAGCATGACTCTTGACAAGACACATTCTGCATAATCTCACACTTTCTTTTCTTTCTTTTGAAAGGCTTACCTGGTATAAAGCTCCCTTGGACAAGATCTTTGTATGCCCACCAACCATCGTGCAGCTTTGATGACACTGGCTGTGCTGCGGGAAAAGAAGAGATTCACACATCACTCACCCACGGCTTTTTGAAAATACAGTCACACCTGTAATAGACCCCAACCCCCCAAGGAGATGAGTTTCTGCTGTCAAATGAGAGGATGAAGTTGTCTCTAATGATACAAGGCACATTTAAAAAGTCTTTTTGAGGCAAAACTCGACGCATTTTACCCCCCAAAAAAAAAAAAAAAATGTAGCATGCAAATTTATAAAGTCAATATTTGCCAATAGCACCGCTTAATTGCAAGAAGAATAAAAAAACACATTTGTGAGATGACGACAGATGCATCCTGGATCCTCTGCTCTGGGCCCTGTCGGAGGAGCTGGAAAGTAGGTCACAGAGGCAGCAGACTCCAGCATTCTGAATTCACTCTGTTATCTCACATCACTATTCCCCTCACCTCTCTCCCTCTGGCTTCAGGTTGCAGCTTGCATCATATCCACTGCCAAGTCAAGCACTCAGGGCTGCACTTTAATACACCACACCACAGCTCTACTCTCAAGCCAGGTTGCTTTGATGTGCCCGTCATGAACGGAGGATTGGAGCCCAATTTTCTTCCACCCCAATTTATTGACATCTGTATCTGAGATATGAGAAGCTTGTGCACTTTCACTTATGTGGCTCGTAGGAAGCTGCCATTTCTGAGGCTACAGTATCTAGAAGCATCGAGAGCCACAGATTTGCTGTAAGTGCAGGTGCTGAGACACCGAGAGATTTGCGAAATGCTGACACTCGATTGAGCCCGGCTACCCATATATCATCTCTGCTGTGTGTGGCTCCCTGTGAGATATTGAACTAAACATAAAAAGGCTTGTATTATTTTACACCGCACGTTTTTTGACACGCCTGAGTCACTTTGATATTATTGGCTGGAATAAGGAAAATAATCCTCATGCATTTAACCAGGTGGCTTGATTTTGATTTTCCTCACACTCTCAGCCGTCGACATTCCTGTACTAGACTGACCTCGAACCACACGTCAACTTCCTTTCAAACATACAATACGGGCTTTTCCTTTCATCCACATATCTTGCTCTTTGCAGTTGAAGATCTTGTGAACTTGTGTCTGTTTTTTTTATAGATGCCCATCCCCAGGAGGAAGATGACGTCAAACTCAGAATTGCCTAAACAAACTGGGTACTTCACTAGTGCAGAAGCACATAGTACACCATAGACTCTAGATGAGCTTTACTCTGAGGATCATGCCTCACTGACAACCTTTCTACATAGATTTTTTATTTGTCTCGTGTCCCTTTTTATGTCTTTCTTTTTTGTTTCTTAGCAGTGAAAATCCTTTTATAGTGTTTAATATAACAATAATATGTTTGTACTCATTAGAGAAATGTCACGTTTGAGAAAAGTATGACAAAGATGAAAAGGATTGAGAAACGAAAAGAAAGCAGTTGAAACCAGTCTAAGATGGTTTGCTGGTCTCCTAGCCTGGTCAAACATATCTATTGGCTGATTTTGAAAAGGGTTTCAGCACGTTTTAGCTGATCAGCCTGGCAGATCACCTGGACCACCTGAAGACCAACTCGGCCAGGCTGGGAAGCCATTTTAAACCACATTAAAATCCAGCAAACTATCTTAATCTGATTCTTCGAATCCCTGGTCATTCTTTTCTCAAAACCTATGTTGTTGTTGTTGTTGTTTTTAGCGAGGAATATAAGAAAACATAGCTATGCAGGAAATTACATTTTTGGGAAGCAATTTCCCCCCTCCAAATCCCTGCTGTTCCATTTAAAATATTTTCATTTTTGAAATGACGACCTTGTTGGAAGAAAAAAAAAACACAAGCTAAAACCAGCCTATCTGGTCTCTGTTCCAAACTGTTCTACTGGTTTTAGAAGGTAGTCCCACATAAGACCATCATGATTTGGCTGGAGGACCATCTTAGCTAAAGCCTGCTTAAACCATAGCATCTTTAGTCTGGCTTCAGAATGTTTTTTTTTTCTTCAGCAGGACGAACAGTCAGTAAACAATCGCTTCAGACAGTAAATTCAGCATTTTGTTATGAGAAAAAGAAAAAAAGCTTTGGATGTTAATGCATTGCCAGCATAATGAAAATTCTGCTATAGTCTATTAACAACAGAGCTTCCAGCATCTTAAGCATCCTGAGAGTGAGTTTTCATATGTGAACAGTTTACCTTCTACAATGATGACATTAACGTTGAGAATCAGAATGAACTCCCAAACGTGCGGCATTCTTCATTTAGTCCATCAGGTAATAATTAACTTGATAACACTTGGTCAAAGTCTGAAGCGTCATTCCCCGCGAGCGACGCTGACTCGCGCGCTCCCGTCACTCTCAAATATGATGAACATCGTCCTCTCCAAAAGATGCGACCCACCGCGCAGATTTACTATGAAATTTACTAAACGATAGACCACTTGACAGTTCACAGCGTAGAAACTTGAAAGTCCAGACACCGACCTCTCGGCTGGTATCGCGAAAACCAAATTAGACCAAACCAATATCTTTATTTATCCTTGTTTGTGCTGTTAGGTTAGTCGTGGATGGTGTTTGCGGCGTTACCTGACAGAGCGCGCGGATCTGAGGTTTAGCTCGTGCTAATCCCCCTGCAGGCGGGGCTCGCGCTCCCGTGACGCTCGCTTGAGAATGCGGTTAGTTTTGACATCTATTCAAACTCTAATGCAATTACTTTCCTGCTGGTGTGAGGCTTAACAGGATTAGAAATGATCACATTCCTGTTCATTACTTACAAAATTAGCAACACGAGCGCGTATTAAAGAAAAAACATGCAATCTTTTATTAAGCTATCACTTCTAACGCAGAGCTAATTAATGCACACGTTTAAAAAAAAAATTCTTTAGATGCGTCGATTTACAGGCCTGTTGACATGAGAGCACAGGGCTTATTTTCAACAAATTAACGTTTAAGTTAGCTACATGTAAACAACATCCACGTATTTATTAAAACGTTTTAAACATAAATAAATCACTGTTAAAAAAAACATCCACAAAATCTTTTTTAGACAAATTTAATTGTCACATTTACAACATACATAAAGACCCACAATATCTAAAATATGACTATGAAATTCACTAACAAGAATCAGAGCATGAAACATACATGTAAGGCCTACACATCACCCCAGAGTAGAGCTAAAACTGGCTGAATTTGAGATTAGATCTCGTCCCAATTGCATAGGCGATGAATATTCTTCCGTCTGTTTACGGTGTCGTGTATAACGAATCACATTCGGTAGCTGTTCATGTTTTTTTTTTTTTTTTTTTTTTCTATCCATCACTGTTTCACATAAACGTGACCTGATGCAAGATAAAAATATATAAAGCAAGAACCAAATGAGAAGGATGAAATGAGTCATGACTGGGCAACAGATTTTAGCACTATCGGAAAACCTGAAGAGAAAATGCTATTTTCAGTTAGGGCACATAACAATAACAATAAAATCCTCACACAGATAATAAGAACGAAAATCAAAATACACAGAGTTCAACTGTAAGTTCACACTTACACTGAATTTACATTCACATTCATTGATGTTTAAAGGTTTGGTTTTCTGTATTCTATATTATCTTAGTGACAAATCAGCAGAATTTGAAACAATGTTTTTTAGTTATCTTTTTGTCAAAACGTATCTTTCATTTGTGGTGGGGACAAATCTGAAAACCTTCTTGTTGAGCCCTCCAGCATACATACATACATTCAGTTGAAAAACAGTAATAAAATAAACATCAAAACATAAATCTCACACACAGTCTTCTGTATAATCAGTTCATATCAGGCTGTTTTAAATGAACATCTTCAATTGTATCAGATATCCAGATGAAGTTCCAATAAAATCAGGTAGAGTTGCGTTGATTCAGATAATAAACGTCTGTAAACGTCCATTTTTACTGTCTAGAAGAGACAGTTTGAGAGTGCACTCATCAGTAGTACTGTTTCTTTTCAGTCCAGTTTGTGATCCAGTGTTTCTTGTTGTTCGTTGAGTCCACAACCAAAAAGCCCTGGTTTACCTGGTACTGTTCCTTCTTACAAATCTTCACGCCTTGGTATTTTGGCATAGTTCGGAAATAGGCAGCCCGCTTAAAAAAGCCACTCTGCGAGAAGACATAAGAAAAAGAGCATTGTGAGCAAGGCGAGCATCTTACCACAGGATGCATGTATTCAGAGAAGCTTTGAGAAATCTAAGATTGACTGAAGTAGATTACAAGATTAACATTATATAGCAACCGAGAGAACGCATTCTGTAAATTCAAGTGAAATTATGAAGAGAGCAAATTATTATGAGACAGAGAGTCTGTAAAAATGTGTGATAAATTCAGCGGCAGGTTGTGAAAGGGAAAGGAAAGCTTGTTATCTGTAAGAGAAGATGGGATCAGAAGGAGTTTGTTGCCTCAGTTGAAAGCAAGCCCTCAAACGGCACAAAAGAAAACAATGTGGTAACGCAGAAGTTATTAGTCATGTCAAAGCAAGAAAAGGCGTTTCGAAGTTGGATTAAAGCAATATACAGTTCATGTTTTAAGACATCATTCTATCTCCAAGATCCCAAGCCCGAGGACATAGCAAAGAGCCTCACATATCAATTTGTTTCAGGAAAAAAAAAAAAACCTCTAGTGTTTTTGAGAGCAATAATGAGAGTCGAAAACAGACGAGGGAAGCGTTGTGTCTCAAAGGGGAAGAGGAAAGACAGTATTAGTGGAGCTTCCATGGAATACATTATTGTTAATCAAGCCAAGCATTTTAGCTAGAGAGCCGTTGGCTGTGACACCTACAAACTTGCTATTTGTGTCAGAGGCCCACAAAGGCCAGGGAATCTCAGTCCTCCTCTGTAAGGCGGTCATTTTCTGATGGCTGTGTTTTCATTTCTGCTTTCTGGGCCTTGGCCTCATAAAGCTCTCTGGTGTTGGCTCTCTTGAAGAAACCACACTGGGGAACAGGATTCAGATATGAGCAATCAAACAAAGCACAAGACATGGCTGGAGAAAAGTGATCTAGGCTTGAATCAACTGTGCTCTTCTGGTATCAATGTTGTGATATAGTTGTGATATACTGAAAATAATAATATCCATACCCTTCGGTCAACATCTAGCTGTATCTACTTAAAGTAAAAAATAGAATACATAAAATTTGACTGCAAAATACTGTAAAAATGTGTTTGGGGAAATTACAAAAATCATTTATGCTGAAAATAGATATTCTATTTAACAAGAACATACTTTCACAATATAATGTGGTTAAATTGTGACTTTTTTTGTGTGGAATAATATTTTCTTTTTTTTCTTTTATATAGTGTGTGTGTGTAACATTTCACTATTTACTTAAAAGAATATATGGTTATGATTAAGTTTATGCACCAAAGTGCCATCCTGAATGCCTGAAATGTTGGATGATTAAAATGTGTAGCAATATGTGTTGCTGCTCCTCTCAAGGTGGAGTTAAAAATAAACTTCACACTTTGTTTATGGTGTTAAAGAACAATGCGATAAAATTAAGTTGTTGTTTGTGTTACTTTAACCAAAGTAATGTGCAGATGTGAGAACAAACGAGTATTGAAGCACAAAAAGTTTCTCACCTTCCACAGAAAAATGACAATCAGGCCCAGCAGAATCACTCCAGCCAGTACAGACACAATGATTATCCACAGAGGCATTTCATACGGAAGCTCTTCTGACCCTGCAGGGTCTATATCTACTGTAAACTAAACAGAGAAAAGATGTTTACTGTCATTAATCTCGAATGCACCAGAAAACGTATACAGGAAAATTGCCTCATTTTAATAATTATTTGATTTTCCCTCACTTATGCTAAATGTATGCAAGAGAGAGTTCCAGATAGAAGAGGAAACTTGGAGATGTTGAGTTTGTACCTCACGGGTGTAATTGCTCATCTTGATGGTTTGTTTGTCTGTTTTTAGACTCAGTGTGGCACTACCAAACACACGTACTCTTACAGCATTGTATTCCTGTAAACAGAGCAGCACAAATGTTATTTTCAGGACTTCAGAATGAGTATCACGTAAAGTAAGGGTTTTCGAACCCTTCCTGGAGCTTCCCCCGCATGGGGAATGATTTCCATAATAATTTCTTAATTTGGAATATGATCAAAGATTGTGCATGTGATTATCCAATAATTGTGCAAAATAGAACATTTTCACTCTGTTCAAATGAGTGAATCGGTGACTTGAATAAAGATTAGTTAATTTGGCTGAATGAGAGACTCGGTAAAATGATCCGATTTTCCCATCATCACATATATTGGACACACTCAGCTCAGGTCATGGAGTGGTCTACTAATCAGCTGGTGACTTAATTCAGCTGGATTAAATAGGGGACACATCCAAAATGCGCAGTGCTGGTGAGGATCCAGGAACAGTTCATGTTAAAAACCCTTACAGGGCTGCGTTTCCCAAAAGTCTTGCTTCTGCAATCTACTTAGGCCAATGATTTCATTTTAGGAAATGCAGCACTGTGAAGTTAGTTCTGAAAAAAAGTCTAGCATTATTTGTTTGCAGATGCCACTTTAGTTTGATGTATCTAATGTGGGTTTTAGGTCTGTCTTAAGGGTCCAAATACTTGGAGCCACTGTTTCAACTTTAACCCAAAGTATAAGGTGTATTCTGAAGGACTGGACCAGGTGTACCAAATGAACTTATCAACAAATCCACTTATATTACTTCATAAACAATGTCACAAAGCAAGTGTGGAATTTATCCTTGAGAGACTGGTATGCGACAAGTCTGCAGTAATGAGATGAGGAGGTGAAGTTTCAAATGAAAATGGAGCTCTGACCTCAAGCATTGTGCCGTTCCATAGGCGCGCTCTGACAATGATTTTGGCCGAGGTGTTCATGCCAAGTAAGGGGCAGGTGAATGTCTGACAGAGGGCAGATCCCTTGGTACAGTCCTGACATTGAGAGAGAATAAGCAGTGACAGCCAAAACGCTCTTAATTTTGTCTTTGTCTGGTCTCTGTAGCATACTACATCATGCAAAGTATCAGAGGAGACATGACATGCTAGAATCATCCAGTTGCTTAGCAACAAAACAATGGTTGAGGGAGATGGATATACTCACAAGGTTGACATGCTGTTTCCCCTGGACGGCCTGCAGGTTCGGTGAGGCCTGCGGTTGAGTCTGTTTAGACTTCAAGGAGTCCACATCTCTTTTCCTCCTCCCAGACTTGCGCTCTGACACCTAATCCACAGGAGGTAACACGTCCATAACATTAACATGCACATTATGTAGTAAGTGCATGACAACAGAGTGCTGGAGGAATGACGTATTTTTCTAGGCCAAAACCTGGAAACAAGTTAGCATTATAGTACTTTCAGTTCCATCGTCAGCGTTTTTTTAAAATTAAATGTCTGAAAACGTTTTATTCTCCGACTTAAATACACCAGTAATACCCCCCTTTTTTAAAGCTTTAACATGTCTTGGCAAAGGTGGTCGATAGCAAGTGGCTAAATGGGACTACAGGCATTGTCAGAGACATTAAATGTCATCGTGCCGAACAGGAAAACTCATGTAGTAGTCAGCTTTCAAAACCTCATTCTGTTTACAATCACACTCTTGCAAACTATTCTAACTCCAATTTTTTTTTAAAGAAAGGCTGAAAGAGTCAGAAGCTTAATGGTGGCGACGTTGAAGTCATTGTCGTTTGTCGTTCATTTATCGTCTACGGTTAGGCTATAAACGTTTAGACTATAATCCATAGGTTTTTGTCGAGGGCAACCAGGGTGATGCTAATTTCTGGGTTGGCCTACAAAAATACGTCACTAAAGTGCTCTGTTGGATTACGTTTCAACACATTACATAATTCTATCTCATGTTAATGATCATGCATCATGTTGAATTGGAATATTTGATTGAGCTGCTTGCTATGATATTCTCTCTTGAGTTCTTGTGCTTAGAAGGTCTAGATTTTCTACAAATAAATCCATGTCCCACTGATTTATAGGCACGGAGAGATAGATAGTCCACAAACCGCCCTCTGTTTTATATTAGGAGATGGACTTTTTGAAAATAAATCCCACACGGCTTTGTACATTAAGTGAGATTGCAGTGCGAACTGTGGGTAATATAGTTTTGGGAAAGGAGGAGGTCCCAGTCCCAGTCCCAGTCCCAGTCCCAGCATGATTTCCTCGGCTGCTTCTCTGTGGGATTCAACTGGCTGGATACTGCTAAACTTCTCTGTCATCAATGCTGTATTGCAGAAAAAATAATCAGTGGCGGTCGGTGACACACATACATCAAATCACTTACTGTGAGATTACGGGGGTTTACGATGTTATTTTCAGGAACACAGAAGGGCTTGGACGTTCCTGTCATCTGAATCTCTGACAGGTAAAGCAGCCACTTCTGATTATTCAAGGCATAAGGCCACTGAAAGATCACTTCCAGAAACCCCAGATTTCCCAGAGGTTTACCAGAAAGGTCCACCTGCAGACAAAGGAATAAACACAAGTAGTAACTATTTATAGTAGTTGTGAACTGTCTAGGAAACAACTTGTTTAAAAGTTTGGAATAATTAAGTTTTTTAATGCTTTTCAAATAAGTCACTTATGCTCAACAAGCCTGCACTTATTTTATCACAAATACAGTAACATTGTGAAATAATATTGCAATGTAAAAGATTTGTATTCAAATTTAATATATTTTAAAATGTAATTTATTCCTTTGATGGCAAAGCAGCATTTTTAGAATTCATTACTTCAGTCTTCAGTTTCACATGATCCTTTATAAATCATTCTAATATGATGATTTGGTGCTCAAAAAACGTTTTTGATTTTTACATTAATAATTTAGCACTAATAATACTTGAGAACCAAATCAGCATACTAGAATGATTTCTAAAGGATCACATGACACTGACAACTGGTTGTGTCTGCAGCAACCAACAAGACATTTTATCAATCATTTGGTTTCTATTTCCTGTGGAATGGTGCTAGATGGAATGGAAAGTAGCTCCGCCTAGTGTGAAATCTCATTGCTCCAAAAATCCCAACTCAAAAAGCAGTATGGCCAAAAGGGGTCACATCATGCCACAGATATGGCAAGCACAGTTTGTCTGGAATGTGCAGAAAAACTGAGTGATACAAACAGTTGGTGTGTCCCAATTGGCATACTTATGCACTATTCTATGTCATTTTGTAGAATATATAATGTTAGTATTGTGTTCACACTGAAAATTCCCACAGTAATAAGTGCACTTCAAATACCCTGATAATGCACATATTTAAATGAAAACACGAAGGGTGCTTCTCAATCAGTAGGCTGCATCCTAGCGAGGTTTTGTCCTTCCTAGTCCAGCTCTTCTGAGGCTAGACTCCTTATCTCGTTCTTGTGCTCAAAATGAAGGCAACAATTATTTGGCCACTTTAGGGTTGTGAAATGTAAGTAAAACGTTTCCATAGATAATCCGTACTTGAAAGTACTAAAGTACTAAATCTGAGCTTATGTCCCAACTAGTTGCATTTGCAGCAAACAAGACATTTAGTCAATTATTTGGTTTCTATTTCCATTGTATTAGATAGCTTCACCTAGAGTGAAATTCTCAAAAATCCCACTCCAAAAAGCAGTATATTAAATGTCACACTGTATTTATTTCCTTACAGTGTGGACAGACAAATGATCCAACACTGCAAACTTTCCACATCACACCTAGTTAGGAATCAATGTTAGACTGTAAAAAGCATCTTGCCGTGAAGTTGAATTCCACTGGGCTTCCAATATCACTGGTACTTTTCATGGCTGATTCTCCTATTACATTGCCACTGAATTCTGTCTTAAGGTTGAAGATAGGGCTAAAAGAAAAATATACATTTTTCAGATTATTATTTTTGCACACTCATAATATTTGTATATAGCTCTTGCTGAAGTTTGATGTCAGGCAAAAAAATTAAGAAATTTCTGTATGCAATGCTCAAGTGCAACATGAGTCATCTGACATCACTTTGAAAAGCGGTAAGGCAGAAGTGAAGATCCAGTGAAATGCTCTAAGGATAGAAATGATGCATAACTCACATGTTAAAGATGGGCTGTAGGACGTACTCCACCATTAGCACTCTCGGCAGGGGCCGTAGATCATTCTGATCGCTCTGCCTGAGAAGTGTAGATGAAATCATCAGCTAGTGTCCAAATCTGAATCATACCCTTTGAACAAACCTCTTTCACAGACAATTGTTCTTTCATATGTATATAAGCCGTATGTTAGTGGTTAAAGCTGCAGAACTGAGCAGTGAATCACTGTATTTGGCCCTGTTTATCCACCTTCCTGTGGGTGGGTAGGGATTTTAATGATATTCTTTCTATATAGAATTCTGCTCAACTTTACATAACTCCTTACAGAGAGATCATAAAATATTCTTTTATTATTATTTAGAACTACCGTGATGTGATATAATGACTGAAAGTATAAACTCATACAAGTAAAAACCATCACAAAATGCAACATACGATATTAAATAAAAAGGATATGTAAACTTTTGAGCAGCATAATTTGCATAAATTATTTTATTTAAAATAAATAAGTAAATTTCCAATTTGAAAAAAGGCTAAACATCTTAGACTAGAGATTTTGCACAGGGTTTGCATGAGCATAAAATGAGCATAAAAGTTTTCTCTTCAGGATTGTGTGTCTTTAGTAAGGACATTGTTTTTTGCAAGCTCATTTCCTGCAGAACATCTCTCCCCAAATGTTCAGCTTATTTGAGAATCTGAAGAAAATCATGCCGGTATCTCATACGTTGAGAGCTGCAGTTCAGTCTGAATCTCCTGCATGTCTATTGTGATTCCTGTAGTTTCAAAGGTGATCTCAATCTCGACCTGTGAAAGACAGAAGTGCCCGCAAGAAAATAAAGACATATTTTTTAAGATTCATTACATCTGCTCCTAGAAATGCTTTTCACACTGTTGAATAAATTCATATGTTGTATCCAAAAAATAATCCTAAATTCTAATCTGATCCCCATCTATTATGGTTGCTACAGTATGTCTACTTGTAAATCCCAGGGTAACAGTGCATTTCAAACCTATGCATGTCAAGTCACTGATACCAATGAGTACTTACTCTCTGATTTCTTTGAAAGGGGTCTCCCAGCGTACACAGAAGATAAACCCCGGAAGAAAAGTCAACATTCAAGTTCTGCAAGGCACAAAAAAAGGAGCTTTGTAAAAAAAATGTATCTACACTACTGTTCAAAAGATACATTTTTGTAATGTTTTTGAAAGAAGTCCCTAATGCTCACCAAGGCTGCAATTATTTGATCAAAAATACAGTAAAAACAGTAATACTGTGAAATATTATTACAATTTAAAACAACCATTATCTTTTTTAATATATTTGAAAAAGTAATTTATTCCTGTGATGTGTGATGCAAAGATGAATTTTCAGCATCATTACTCCAGTCGTCAGTGTCACATGATCCATCAGAAATCATTCTAATATGCTGATTTGCTGCTCAAGAAACATTTATTAATCAATGATGAAAACAGTTGTGCTGCTTAATACTTTGTGAAAACTGATATATTTATGAATAGAAAGTTCAAAAGAAAAGCATTTATTTAGAAATATTTGTTTAACTATTTTTGTAACAATGTAAAAGTCTTTACTGTCACCTTTGACCAATTTAATGCAAATAAAAGTAGTAATAAAAAGTTTTTTTCTGACCCCAACTGAACTGTAGAGAATATGCAGAGATAATGTAGACGAGGGGTGTTCAATTTAGCTTAACCAAAGCTCTGTGCCCAGTTGCATAAAGCCTCTTAATTTTTTCCCCTAAGTGTAACACTTAAAGCTGCAGTAGGGAGTTTTGAGAAAACGTTGACTTAGCCTGAAAATTTGAACAAGCACAACTTACACGTCCCACCCCCTTGCTCTCTGCTGCGCTACAGCCCTCCCTCCACAGCTCGTCCACCACAGCGGAGCCCGTCGTGAACGCGCAAGCTAGTAAACAGGGCCACTCATAACGGCGGATAAAAAGGTATATGGCACATTCACTAATAGGGACTATACGTCAATAATATGCTTTACATTGACTATGGTCTGCCCATACTTTGACTACAAACTTGGTCCTCAAATCATTATGTATTTTGCAATAGCCTACATGTAACTTTATAACGTTGCACTCTTTCTATAAGTTATAAATAGCTAGTAAGATAACGTTAATATAACGGTAACTAACGTTACAGTATGTAAGTGATTATTCTAGCGATATATAATGCTAGATAAGGTGTGCTAGTACATTATTTCAGCAACATGACAAGCCAGTGAATTAGCAGGTTTCAATTGTTGCTTAGCAGAGTGCGTGACATTTTATCTACATGTTATGCGGCCAGAGTTTTGACACCGAGTCAATGGGCTCTGTGTAATTCTTTCTTTTTCGCTTGTTTATCATCATCGATCTTTTTCCTTTTACCTCTTTGTTTTATGAGCAGGTGTCACTCGAGAATTGGCAGTTTAGGTTGTTTCTCCGTCATAAGCACAGCTGCAGCACGCCGGCAATCTTGAGTTTGAACGACGGCTCGCGCTGTGCAAGAGAGGGGTGTGATCAGCGCGTACATGAGCGTGATTGACAGTGCTAAGACAGTCCTCCTGGCTCTGATTGGTTGTTTCTGACCGGGAGCGTGTATTTCTTGCAAATGGCAATAGGACCACTAGGAGGAGCCAGAGGAGCTTGATTTTTACACAGATTATCTGTCTCATATTCTACTGTCAGGACATAATGACAGTTTTAGCAAATACATGTTTTCAAAAGTTACCTACAGGAGCTTTAAACCGTGAATTCCCCTTACCTAAGGGAATGATTTGAGGGTGTTGCTGTTACAGATCTGCCAGGCTCTCACACCAGCCAATCACAGCGCACTCCCTCACCTGAGTTCTGATCACACACACCTGCACCACTGCCGCTACTTAAGAACATACTTCACCACAGTTCACTGTCCGGTCTCATTTGTATGAAGGGGACTACTTACCTTACAACGACCTACCTGACTTCTCTCCAATTTCCACTCCAGCATCATGTCTCCATTCTACTCCGTGTGATTCTCCCAGTGTCTCGTCCTTCCTCCGTGTCTCCACGTCTTCAGCGATTCATCAGCATTCCTGTAAGATGATACATTCCATTCACTGCCAGCATCCCACTCTCCAATTCATCATTGCACTTCCTACTCACCTGCTTCCAGTTCATCCGCTCAGTTGTTGTCCAAATAAACTTCCTGTTTACTTCATCTCTGTCTCGTAAGTCTGATTCCGTAACAGGAGACCGGACCGATTACCGACAGACAACATCATGAGCTCACCGGAACAGCTCCAGGACAACTCTGATCCCATCACACCAGCCATCATCACCACCACCACTTCTTCCACGATCGCAATCGCCAGTCCCATGGCCAAACCAGCACCCTACTCTGGTTTGGCGGAAGATTGCAATGGATTTCTCATGCAATGTTCATTGACCCTGGAGATGCAGCTGCATCTCTTTACCAAAGACCGGCTAAGATCATGTTCATCATTTCCCTGCTGAAAAGGGCGAGCGCCCCAATGGGCTGAAACTCTCTGGACGCAATCCAACGCTGTAACCCAGTCTCTTAATGATTTTGCCACTCACTTTCGTGAAGTTTTCGGCAAACCTGTTGGAGATTTATCAATAGGTGAGCAACTTTATCATCTCCGTCAAGGGAATATGTCAATTAATGATTATGCTCTCAAGTTCAGAACCCTCGAGGCCGCCAGCAGCTGGAACGAGAACTCACTCCTCACCACCTATCGACAGGGATTGGATCCCCGAGTGCGACTGCATCTCGCTGCACACGACGATGCCATCGACCTAGAACGTTTCATCCAACTGTCCACCCGCTTCACCACCCATATACAGTTGCGTCTCGAAGAACACCAGGGTCAAACACCATCTATCTCCCTCGCCAGCCAGAGCACCTCATCACTCCAGAACCAGGCCACGAGCCAATGCAAGTAGACTCTCTACCCGGCTACCGTTTACTGAGCGGCAGAGGCAGCTGACCCAGGGTCTCTGCCTGTATTGTGGTGCTGGGGGGCATATCATCTCCACATGCTCCATTCGTACACCTCGTCCAATGGTGAGTGTATTGAAGAATCCCATAACAAATTTGAAACCACTGACTACCACTGTAACCCTTACTGCTTCGAATGCATCTCTCCCAGTTCATGCTCTCCTCGACTCTGGGTCAGCCGGGAATTTCATCTCCGGAAACCTCTGCCACCAATTCAACCTCCCGACGACCACTACTCAGACTATCTACCAGGTCCAGTCGGTGACTGGACGACCACTGTGATGCTGGGTGAGCCAGTGCCCCATGGGAAGATCTATCCCCTCTCACTTCCCGAACAGAAGGCCATGGAGGAGTATGTAGAAGAGGCTCTCCAACAAGGCTACATCCGCCCTTCTACGTCCCCTGCTGCTTCGAGTTTCTTCTTCGTGGCCAAGAAAGATGGAGGCTTGCGGCCTTGTATTGATTACCGTGCCTTCAACAAAATCACCGTCAAATTCCGATATCCTCTTCCCCTCGTCCCAGCGGCGCTAGAACACCTCCGCGGAGCCACGGTCTTCACCAAGTTGGACCTCCGCAGCGCGTACTACCTCATCCGGATACATGAGTGGAAGACCTTCTTCGTGACCCCTACTGGACACTGAGTATTTAGTTATGCCATATGTTCTAGTCAACGCCCTCTCCGTATTCCAGGACTACATGCATGAGGTGCTCCGGGAGTACTGAACTGTCCTCGTCTTCATCCTTATTTACTCCTGGAGCATGGCCGACCATCTCCATCCCTTTTGTGGAGGTCCTGAAATGCCTGAGGGAATTTCATCTGTTCCTCAAGGCCGATAAGTGTTCTTTTCACCAACCCTCAGTGCAGTTCCTTGGTTATAACATCAGTGACAAAGGTATCCAGATGGACGAGGGGAAGGTGGAAGCCATCCAGAACTGGCCCACACCATCCACCATTAAAGAACTCCAACGCTTCCTTGGCTTCGCAAATTTTTACAGACGATTCATCTTCGGCTACATTTCCAGCACCAGTCTCCTGCAAAACAAGCCCAAGTCTCTGTCCTGGTCACCAGCTGCCAACGAAGCATTCCAACGACTAAAGACATTCACCAGCGCACCGCTCCTCATCCATCCACTCCCCGAGAAACCTTTTGTCGTGGAAGTGGATGCATCCACTACCGGGGTAGGAGCGGTACTGTCTCAGCAGCAGGGGACCCCAGCCAAACTCCATCCATGCGCCTTCTACTCCAAAAAGCTCAGCCCGGCGGAGAGAGACCTACGATGTCGGCAACCAAGAACTCCTCGCCATCAAACTAGCCCTAGAGGAGTGGAGGCATTGGTTGGAGGGTGCACAACACCCCTTCACAGTCATCACTGATCATAATAACCTCCAGTACCTAAAAGAAGCCAAGAGACTCAATCCCCGCCAGGCCCATTGGGCCTTGTTCTTTACCCGATTTAATTTCTCCATTTTCTATCGTCCAGGTTCAAAGAATGTGAAGGCTGACGCTCTTTCGCGTCTGTATGCTCCAGAAGAGGTCAGCGAAGAACCTGAGCCAATGCTGCCACCCGAGTTGATCGTGAGTCCCATCCAGTGGTCTTCAGACTTCATCACCTCCTCCAGCGCCGCTCTGCCGAGCTGTCCCCCCGGACGTCAGTACTGCCGTGCAAAGGCAAAAGACCGTAACTTCGTGTTTGGTCGAAAATTAGTTTTTTATATTTTTGGCACATTCAAGACCCCCTTTATCATGTGGATAAGTATCTTGAGTCAATTCCGTCGTTTTTTCGAGAAAATAATGGGTTGTCTTAACAGTAACTTCCAAAAGCCCGTGAGAAACCAAGGCAGAACACCGTAACACCAGTTACCGCTCTTTGGCTTTGTTTTGGAACGCTCATTTTGAGTTACGGTACTCTGCCTTTGTTTAGCCGCGCGTCAATATGAAGTTACGGTGCTGGCGTTCTATCAAATAATGCTACCTTTCAGATTGTACGGTGTTCTGCCTTTGTTTTGCTCTCCATTAAAATTGAAATTACGATGTAGCCGGTGTACTTTGTACAGCTGCCATCAGTCCCTGTAACTTCTGATGTCCTCAGATCTTTGTCCAGCACAAATGCGGT